AGAGAAAGCCAACTTTGGATCATCTCCAATTAAAGCTTGCAGAACCACACATTTTCCATTAGCTTTTGTGTAATAAATAAATGGCAAAAAATTCCAAGTGTCATAAAAAACCCAGAAATAAGATGGCCAGTACTGTAATGCCATGGCTAGATGTATGCATGATGTAGCCACCGTTAGAACATTGTTTTCAGCAGTGATTCCCAATTTCGGGTCCCCAGATGTTCTTGGGCTACAATTCCCAGAAATCCTGACCAGCACAGCTAATGCTGAACGCTTCTAGTCCAAGAACATCTGGGGACCCAAGGTTGGGAACCAGTGGTCTGCAGTATCCCATAACCTTGGAGTTACCAAATGAAATAATAACTCTGTTGGGGGTTACCAAATGAAACTTATTAGCGTTTGATACAGTACAAAGGAAAGCAAGCTATGACATCAAATGTGTGGCATTCATTGCCACAGCAGTACTCAATAATAGTGGTGATTTTTAAGAAGCTTACACAAATTAATAGAAGATAAATAAATGAATGAATGGCTGCAATAGCTAATGGTTAAAAAGTGTCCCAGGTTCATGGGCAACATGACAGTTGCTAAGGTGGTAGCAACGCCATTCAGGGGACTGTTGTTGTTTCCAAGGCTACTGCTTTCAAAACTTGCTCGTAGGCTTCCCAGAAACATCCACTTAGCCACTGTGGGAAGACAGAATGTTAGGTGAAATGGCTTGATAGAGCACTAATGTTCACAGAGTATAGCACTATAATTGCATTTCATTGTCATACTGAAAGGCCTTATTACCAGTTAAGGTCTTCTGAATGTTGTGCTCCTTCTCGTCTACAGAAAGCATCTAAAAAACAGAAAATCAAAGGTTTGTCATCAGTACACTCTATAGCGGGGGAGATGATAAAATATGCCCCCCCCCCGCAGGTTGCATTTGAGGCTCTGGTCTCCCAAGTCTGCTCTTTTCTGAATTGCACAATCTGAAAGCATTTGATTCTCCTCTTAAGTAGGCATTATGTAACACAAACCCCACAAATTTTCTTTCCAAACTCAGAAGCTGATTTTGTACCACTTCCAGTTATTGTGTGGGGAGAGGGTTGGGTTTTTTTTTGGGGGGGGAGGCATTTTTGGTGGCTCCAAAAAAATCTGAGGAGAAAATGGACTCCAGAAATTTGCCTATTTGTGCTATATAGGTGGAACCTGCATTCCCTTTCTTGAGCTACAATCCTGCACAAGGAAACAAAGCAAAACAAATAAATTACAAAAGAAAATTAGTAAAATGACTAATTGTGCAAGAAGATTTTGAGTGCTAACTGGATGGGAAGCTGAGTTTTGTGGTGCCAATGGGATCTCATAACTGTGCAGGTTGGCAGCTTTAATTGTGATGACAGCTGGTGAGGGAAGGTTTGAGCTTGACTTCCCCATATTATAGAGATACAATGAAAATCTCTCCTCTGGCACGTGGCTATGCCCCTCATTCCACAGACGAGAGCAGGTGGTGGTGTCCCTACTTGGGTTGACATGGACCTGCTGAGGCCTACTCTGGCCTCCAGAAAATTGTTTTTCCTGAAAAAAAGATGTTGTAACACAAGTGGGGAACTTCCTTCAGCCTGAATTCAATTTTAGATAAATTCTTGGTGAGGGGAGGGAATCACCTTCTAGGGCCCAAGACAAAAAGATAGGAATAAAATGTCGGCCATATTCTACTCTTAAACCTTTACACAAAGCACTTAAACATTAGGAGAGGCATTTTGGCCTTTTAGACTGTGAAACCACAACATGACAGTATTGTGAAGAATGGAGAACCATAAAATCAAATGAGCCTTTAACTTCAGGTCCTTAGGGTTCTCTATAGTGTGGGAGGTGGGTGATGAAGTGGCGATATACATGGTTGTTGGGCACAGAAATATTATCTTAGCATCTATGTGTATAGCTGGCTGTACAGTTCAGTAAGTAAGTGGAAGTTCAGTTCCCTGTGGTATCTCCCATGAGAGGACCAAGCTTGGGTAGCCTTGGAAAAGCTATTCAGTTCCAGAAGCACCCTGAGAAGAAGGGAATGGTAAATCACGTTTGAGTGTTCTGTACTTAGAAAACCATGGAAAGAGTCACCACAGGTCAGAATTGATTTGACAGAATGTACTTTTTATTATGTGGATGTATGGATGTCCTTTCTACAACAAAATAGTGCTTATTGCTAAATGAGTCTGCTTAGCAGCAGGGCAGCAGAAGTAAATTCCACTTTATTCCTAAAGTCAGCAATGATGCTTTGATCTAAGTGAGTTTCAAATGCAAAACTGCATATGCTCAGAGTATTTTTTTTTAAAGACCAGGTTGATTTTTTTTCTTTGTCGCTCTCAGTGAAGCATGGTATCATGTGTTGGTGATGGGGAGGGCTAATTGTACCATGAAATAGAATGAGACAGTAGCATCAGGCAGAAAATTTTGGCTGTCATGAAAATTCAACAAATTGCCAGTTACCTAATTATTTGTGATTGCATTTTTACAACAAGAAGAGGGCACTTTTCTACCAAAATGATTTGGTGTAATAGAGGTACAGTCGTACCTTGACTTATGAATTTAATCCGTTTTGGAACGGCATTCGTACATCGAAAAGTTCATAAGTCGAAGTACCATTTTACATTGAAATGCATGGGAATGGAATTAATCCATTCCAGCATTTTAAAAAATTACCTTTGGAGGTCTCAAAGGGCTCCCCCCCCCCGACATCGGAGGAAGGCCTTTGAGAGCTCCAAAGGCAGAGAGAAAGGGTGGGAAATTGTCCTAGGGCAAGTGAAAGTTCTAAGAAGCATGCAAGAGAAAGGATTCACTATAAAAGGAAAAGAAATAAAAATTCTGAAACATATCCCATGGCAAAAAAGTGTCATGAGTTTAGCTGAAGATGTTCTGGAATCTGAGGGGTTAATTACAGCTGAGGAAAATTCTGGACAATCAGAATTGCAGACAGATGAATCACCACCAGATTCTCCTCCCCCAGTAGCCAGAGTGAGGGATAAGCTTCAGCAAAGACTCATGACACGAAGGTCTGAGGCTCGCATGGATGCTTCCCACAGGAACATCAGGTCAACTAGTCCTGAGTTTTAGCAGGATGAAGTGTTTTCTAGGAATTAGATGACTGCTGCTGCTGTAAAATCTGCACCCAAAAGGCTTGAAAGCTTGTGGAAGCAACAAATCAATACTCTAGCTCACATCCATGCTCCTGCTTATCTTGCACCTTGCTTTCTTGACCCTTGGCTTTGGGCTATGTCTTCAGACTATGGTTTGTGTTTTTGGCTTTGGCAATTTGACATCTGTTTGTATCTTCTGGACTTCTGATATTGGACTGGCTTGTTGGACTTTTGCATTCTGAAATCCCTAGGAATATGACAATAAGACAGAAAAGGAGACAATATGTGGAGTTGACATATCTCCTGAGAACAAACTCAATTACATATAAATGGTTGATTCCTAAAGGGGTCTCTTTCCAATTCCAGTCACAGATACTCTATTAATTCAACAATGAAAGCAGAATACTTTATGGGGAAAAAAGGGGAAATGGCTGGGTAGGAAAGAAGAGAAAAAGACAAATGAGAAACAGGAAGAGGAGCAATCAAGTGGAGCATCAGGACCAAATTCAAAAGGAACTTCAAAATTTGAGCTAGAAGACCAAATGGGAAGTGCCAAAGGAAAGCCCACCATGGAAACAAGAGGATCTAAGAAGAAGAAAGAAAACCTTAATAATAAAGATGGATAAAATGAGCCTCCAAGAAACTCATATGGAAAGAACAGGTCAACATCTATTAGGAGGAAAAAAAGAAGCAACTAAGAATGTTTTTTTAGCTAACATAAACAGTTTAAACTCAATCCAAAGAATTTATGAACAAATGCAGGAATTAAAATTGGATACTATCTGCCTTCAAGACTTATACTGTAGTATGAAAATCTAGAACTGCTTTATGAAATGTTTTTTAATAAGTGTTCGAAATGTAAAATATAGGAGGGTACTTTCAACCATGTTAGGTAGACAGGTAGGGAAGCAAAAAACTATTGGAGATTAGTATATATGAAATGTTGGAAAAAAGGTTTTTTTCTATATTGTGAGACATAATTTAAACTGGAATTGTGTTAATTGAGTATTATGTCTGAGATTGTAGATATAGAAATGAACCATTTGATAATACATGTAATTACTGTAACTATAATATGGGAAACATTGGAAGAAAGCAGAAACACAGTCAGCTTAAAAAAGACGCAAAACTTTGGATGATTTTATAGCTGGACTTGAAATATGGACTGGAAAGCATAGATAAAAGAAGAACGTGAGGGTCCAATCAGGGAATGGAGAGATTAGTAACTATAATAATTCTGATAAAACCTGTTTTGTTATTTTTTTTTAATTATCTTTTTATTCTAGTAGAATTGTATAAGTGGATGTAAAACTACCCTCTCACTCTTTGGAATTTTACCCTTCTCCTACCCCAGTCATTTATCCCCAATCCTATCCCTTTTGAAAATGAATTAAAAAGTTAAACCGGGAAAAATTGGCAGTTTTGTAGTGTTTATGTCAATTTTTTTTCTTATACTGTACTGGCTGGCATATACTCTATTCTCCATCTGGTTACTTCCTCTCATGACTAAGTAAACTATGGGTTTAATAATATAATTTGTTTAATCATATTCAATTCAGTCATGTCGAAAATTGAAGTTGCCTAACTAAATCTCTATTTACAACACAATAAGGCTTGGCAAGAGATAAGCTTTGGACCAGATCCCTGGTCCTCTAAAGAGTGCCGTCAGACTTCCCAGAAATGAGACTGCTTTCTAGCAAGACCTTTTAAAGATGGCAAGTGGTGGGACACTCTGGTAATAGTTGTTGAAGCTGCAATAGATAGAAAACAGAGAACTGGACTTAGACATACAAATGTTATTCCTTTGTCAGATTTTTACATAGACAACAGTGATTGCTATCTTACCAGCTTCTTGCAATGTTTTCTCAATCAGACCAGCTGGTTCAGACTTATGTGGGTGACACTTAAGCCTGACACTCTTGCATTTGTGAAGCTTTGGTGTTTCTTCAACTTGGGGGCCCCCTCTAAATAGTTTTGTTGCAAAAGCTATATGTCTTTGGTTTCCCTTTGGTATTTTTTGGTTCTCCATTAACTTTGACAATGATATAGAGTAATGTCAGTTGGTGAATGTCCTAAATGTGCTGGGAAACAGCAAGGTTGTGTCTGTTGTTCATTGTGAGTTCTCGGGAGGCTTTTATGACATCACAAAAAGTAGACTGAAGAAACTGCCTCAGCCACCAAGTGGGCTGTAAATTGGCTTTCAACTTTATCTATGCTAGTTTGGAAAGGATCCATACTAGATTTTCATTTTAAATACTGTGTCTTGAGAAAGCTTTGAAAGTTTCACAATCATGAGAAAAGACCATATGAAGTGTGTCTTCTTGATATTTGACAATAAAGAATATCTGCTACAGAACTGTGTTGTGTAAGTTAATTGTGCCACTGCCATTTTTGGTTACTCTTTTCCTATCACTGATTAAGGTGTGTTCTTCAAGAGGCAAGAGTTGATGGAGAAAGGCTAAGGCTTGTGTTACTCATTGCTATAACTGCTAAGGTGACTTAATGTCAGGTTTGGCTTTTTGAATTTAGATCTGGCTACTGAATTCAAGAGCCAAATTGTCCTAGGGCAAGTGAAACTGTCATTTGACAAAACAGCCAACAAATGAAATAAAAAGTCAGTCACCAATGGGAACGGGGTATTCCTAAATATAGCCAGTACAGCGGGGGGGGGGGGCTTTTGAAAATGAAAGGAAAAGCAAGAAGACAGTACAAGTAATTGTTTTTTATGAGGCAAAAGCAAATTGAAAGAAAAGGATGCATCTGGTGCTAATACCATTGAAGAACTACTTGTCCTCCTCATGGTGTGCTGAACTAAATGTGGGATTATCTCTGAATCCATCCATATTCTTTTTCCCCCCCCAAAGCAATAATCACAATTTAAATTTCAAAAATGTGTGTTTAGCTATGTGTCATGTAGGCAAGTATTTTTAAATCAAATTCAAGTATGCTAAACCTGACACAAAAACAGGAATATTATGACATGTACCTGAGCTCTTAATCTCTACTGGATTTTGTCCTTATTTACCAGGAAGATTAGTGAGAATGAAGAAAAGAAGTCAAATTTATTTGATTATGTCCTTTTTTGAGAAACTATTAAACTTACAATTTCATAAACAAGTAGTAGTTACCAGAACATTATGGGAACATAAATGAAGTCATGCAAATTGTGATGGCAAATTGCCATTAATTAATGGGATCTCAGTCGCTGCTGGTAATATCCTTACTGTGCAGCTGGACATGTGACTATAATTGTTTATTAGCAACATTTTGGTAACAAAACCTACACACTGTAATTTGAGATTGATAAACAAATAGCCAAGGAGTACCTTACTACTTTAAATGAGTCCAAATCTCAATTGAAAACAATGCAGTAATAATCAGAAGTCAACATCGATTTGTCAAGAACAAATCCTGACAGAATAATCTTCTCATTTTTTATGAGATAACCTCCCTGATAGATGGTGTAGATGCTGTAGATGTAATATATCTTGACATCAGCAAAGCCTTTGACAAAGTGCCGCATGATATTCTGATTAGCAAGGTAACTAGGTGTGGGCTGAATAGAACAAGTGTCAAGTGGATTCGCAGTTGGTTACAGAATTGTACACAGAGAGTGCTTATCATTGATTGGCTCCTTCTCAAACAGAGAGAAGGTAACAAGTGGGGTCATCACAAGCCTCAGTCCTTGTGCTCTTCAACATTTTTATTGACAACTTAGATGAGAGAGTGCAAAGAATATTTATCAAATTTGCAGATGGCACAAAATTGGGTGGAATAGCTAATACCTTTGAAGAGAAGACCAAAATTCAAAAAGATCTTAATAGGCTTGAGCACTGGGCTGAAAACAACAGAATGAAATTTAACAGGGATAAGTGCAAAGTTCTACACCTAGGAAAAAAACACAAATGTACAGCTATAAATCCCCCCTCCCCGTGAGCTCGGTACTGACTTCAGAAGGACGGAAAGCTGAGTGAACACTGGGCTGGCTGTCAGAGTCTGCTGTGATCAGAGCTGACTGTGAGCAGAGTTTTGACTGTAATGCTACAGTTTAACCTCTGTACCACAAGGCAAAGAGGCAAATGCTGTTTTAGGATGCATTAACAGAAGTATAGTCTCCAAATCATATGAAGTACTGTACTAAGGTTGCCCTTGACATTTAGTCCAGTCCTGTCCAACTCTAGGGGGCGGTGCTCATCTCTGTTTCCAAGCCATGGAGCCAGTGTTTTTGTCCGAAGACAGTTTCCGTGGTCACGTGGCCAGCACGACTAGACATGGAACGGCATTACCTTCCCACCGAGGTGGTCCCTATTGATCTACTCGCATTTTACATGCTTTCCAACTGCTAGGTCAGCAGGAGCTGGGACAAACGATGGGGGCTCAGTCCATCACATGGATTCGATCTTACGACTGCTTGGTCTTCTGACCTTGCAGCACAGAGGCTTCTGTGGTTTAACCCACAGCTCCACCATGTTCCTATGAGGTACTAATTTCCCTCTATTTGGCACTGGTTAGGCCTCAGAGCACTGTGTCTAGTTCTAGACACCACACTTTAAGGAGGATGCCAACAAACTGGAGCAAGTTCAGAGGAGGACAACAAGGATGATTAAGGGGCTAGAAACCAAGCCTATGAGGAAAGACTGAAAGAACAGGGCAGGTTTACCCTTGAGAAAAGAAGACTGAGGGGAGATATGATAGTAGTTTTCAAATACTTGAAAGATTGTGATACAGAGGAGGGACAGGATGTGTTCTCAATTATCCCAGAGTGCAGGGCACATAGTAATGTGCTCAAGCTATAGGAAGCCAGATTTAGGCTGAATATCAGGAAAAAAACTACTTTTAGAGGTGTACAACAATGAAGCCAATTACCTTGGAAGGTGGTGAGTGCTACAATGCTGGAAGCATTCAGGAGAAAGTTGGAAACACTCTGTCAGAACTGCTTTAATTTGGATTCCTGCATTGAACGGGGGTTGGACTCAATAGCCTTATAGGACCTTTCCAGCTCCCTTAATCTATGATTTTATGTTGAGTGCATACAAATGAGAATCAGACTGCTGCCTTAGCTGATCAATTTACTAATTAAATTGATACAATGCTGGAGGCATTCAGGAGAAAGTTGGAAACACTCTGTCAGAACTGCTTTAATTCGGATTCCTGCATTGAACGGGGGCTGGACTCAATAGCCTTATAGGACCTTTCCAGCTCCCTTAATCTATGATTTTATGTTGAGTGCATACAAATGAGAATCAGACTGCTGCCTTAGCTGATCAATTTACTAATTAAATTGATTAAAGCTCACAAAACCTCAGGATCCAGATAATTCTTCATCAAGTAACCGCTACAGCTAATTCCATTACCATCTGTACCTTAATAAGGTCCAACTTTTTATTTTGAAAAAGACCAAGCATTATTTAGGTTATAACATATACACCCACACTTTTCAGAAATAAACACTTCTTTTAATTGGCAAATAGAACACACAATGCAGGTCATTAGTATTTAATTAAAAGACTATTAAGTTACAAAGGCATTAAAAAACTGGCATTCAAATAGCAGTTCAGGACACATAGTACAGTTCTTCCTGTTGGCAGCTGATAGGATGTAAACTCTCAATTTATAGTCTTCTAATATAGTATAATACTAAGAAACTACAGTGAAAACCTGTAACCATTAAAAAACAGAGGTTGCATGAAAGACCTCATTGCTTTTTTACGGGATATGAACACAATGGGACTAAACTGCCAACACATACTTTCAGTATTTCTTTTAAGCTCCAAACATCTGGAGGGTACAAAGAACTGATTCAAAAACACCATTATGCAGAGGTACAGAACTTCACATCAAGCTGAAAGTTCATCACTTATGGTCCAAAAATAGTCCAACGTATCTTATAATGTCTGTCGTATTACCTGGGCTTCAATTAAAGCCCAACATGCATTGAACCAAACTCTTAAAGAAAGGCTATGGTTTACAACTAAACAGCAAATTACATATATAGGCCTAAATCCATACTGCTCAAGTGGCCATCTGCTAGAGCAATGAGATTTTCTCCCCGCTCCCTGCCGCCCTCCTACACTACCCAAGAACGTGCTCTTGATTGTTTCCTATCCTACTGTAGTTCAGTTCTGAGGAGGCAAGAGGGATCAATATAGAGGGGGTGGGAAAGCGGCCCTGTTGCATCAGTGGAACAACTATGCTGGATCTTGGCCATAATGAATATGTGTGAAAATATTTAGATTTTAAAAAGCACACACATCGTTTGGGTTCTAGACTGTTAGTCACATTATGAACTGCTGGATAGGTCAGCGGTTTAGGTCTCTGGCTGTAGAGCCAGAGGTTGGGAGTTCAATTCCCACTGTGCTTCTTTGACAGGGGCTGGACTTGATGATCCACAGGGTCCCTTCCAGCTTTGCAGTTCTAAGATTATTATTACTCAGGTAATTCAAAACTATGGGGCTTAAGACAGTTATACATCAATGGGACTTATGTGCAACTAGGTTTGGGTCCAAGCCAATATATATTACACACGTACACACAAATCATTTCCTCATTCCCCTACTCAACATTTATTTGTATTTATGAGGTAAAAAAAAATCATTTCACTTCATTGACACTTGTATCATGTTGACAAGGTACAGCCATGTGTTAATGCAATTTAAAAAATACAACAACAACAATAACAACACCGTATCTCTATGTCTGAAACACTTTTGTGTTTCAGTTTTAAATGCTATTCAGGACAAAAAGCCTTCGCATTCTCTTCTTAAAGTCTCTTTACGCATCACTCTGTATGCCGAGAGGCCCATTTCCCCAAATGTTCTTTCCCTGCAGAGTTAAGGCAATACTATTTTCTAAGCATAACATACTACTCTTACATTACAGCTCTGTCCCTCTTCAAGCCTGCTTCACAGGAATGTCATTTTCCTACATGAATAATATTTTCTGTGTAGGGAGCACAAACCATGTGTAGAGATCGTTGTGCAATAATCTTCCTCATGTGCATCCGTTTCTCTGCCTGAAATGCGATGGTCACCTAGGTTGCAGCAACCAGTCTCTCTAGAAAAAGTATTCTGAGATAAATGCAACAGTTTCCAGCTTTTCACATTTCCCTGAGGAAAGAACCTGGTGAGGTCCAAAACAAGCTGGGATTGTAGTGGTACACAGCAAGTCCATTTTCATCTGCTGGTTTTATACCTGCTTTCTACTGTACGCACACACAGGGAAACAGGAGCATGATCCCTCATTACACATGTGGCATATTGTTCATGGTGCAAATGCCTTTATTTCCTACATAGAAATATTACAGATATAGGAAATGGGCTACATTTAATGTGACTCTCCAAACAGGAGAAAAACTGTAATTCAGATATCATATTTCTTTGATTAGTCTCCATGCTTCTTGTACTATTTACACTTTGTTTATTTGCATTATTTAGGTTTATGGCACCACTTCATAGCAAAAATAGAAATTGACTGAATGTCTTGGTGGAAACAACTTTGTATCTCAAAAATATCAAGGAGTACCATTAAATATTAGAATTTATTTGAAAAAGTCAGCTTTTAACCAAATATTATGCTGCTGATGTTGAAATACCCTGTTCTTTAACCTGGCTTGGAAAGCAGGCTGCTGTGTGAGGAGAGTACACTGAAAGCCACAGAGGCTTCCTGTCACTAGAAAGCAAAGTGCTGCAAAGCCTTCTCTACTTACTCTGTAGCATAGCACAAAAGTAGTTTGCAACCCCCAAAAATATGAAATCTAGAAAAATGCTCTCATTCATATAAAGGATTGTGGAAGCTGTCAACAGGAAGTCCACAGATCCTGATCATTGAACTGATCACTAGATCTCAAGAAAATGGAGCAAAGTTTAACAAAAACCAACCAACCAACCCCCCCCCAAAAAACAAAAAGAGCCAACCCCAAAACATCCCCCAACACTCAACACAACATGTATGACAAAAACCGCCAAGAAGGCAGAGTTCTTTCATCTGTTTACATCAGATGAATAAAGTGCATAGCAACTTTTGTAACAGTTCTTGGAAAGACACACACACACAGAGAAAAAACACTTAGCAAGCCCCAGCAAGCTTGACACTTGTTATGTACATCTTGCTACAGGTGGTTTTTCTCTTTCTTTCATTCTCTACAATTCAGTTCTTCAGCAGCACCATCTTGTGACTTCCTTCAACATTCAGATGGAATGTGCTGAGATTTCTGACTGCTGCCGTATGTAACTCTGAAAGCTCTTGTCACCAATAGGATGCTCCCTGGAGAAGGAGAAAAAGGGCAAAGGAGAAAAATGACAACTTGATTTAAATTTTGCACAGGAAGAGACTGCTCTTTTGCTCTAAGCAAAAGAGCAGCAACCACAACAAAATCAAAGGTAAAGTGCTTCCACCTTTTTGACTCCCAGAGAAAAGTCTGGCATGAAGACATTGTAAGAGGAACTCCTGGTTGTAATTCTCTGGATGAGGATTTGGCAAGACCAGGATAAAACAAAATCAGGATAACATTTAGATTGGGCATCCTTCAGTCTCAAGAGACTACGGTAACATGCTCTGAATAGAGGACTTGGAACAGCGTCTAGTGTGGCTGAGAAGGCCAATCCAAGAGTGACAATCCCTTCCACATTGAAGACAAATGCAAACTGTTCCTTGTCCAGCTCCCTGATTATGCTGGTTTTGGGACTGCCTCTTTGCCTCAGCCTGCTGGACAAGGGTCTCTTCAAATTGGGAGAGGCAGTGATGCAACGCCTGCCTCCAGGCTGAACGCTCAGATGTCAGGGTTTCCCATCTGTTGAGGTCCATTCCTAAGGCCTTCAGATCCCGCTTACAGATGTCCTTGTATTGCAGTTGTAGTCTCCCTCTGAGGCGATTTCCCTGCACTAATTCTCCATACAGGAAATTTATTGGAATCCGACTGTCAGCCATTCTCACAACATGCCCAAGCTGTTTCAGTAATGTATACATGCTAAAAATTCCAGCTCGTTCTAGGACTACTCTATTTGCAACTTTGTCCTGCCAGGTGATACCAAAAATGCGTTGGAGACAACGCATATGGAACGTGTTCAACTTCCTCTCCTGCCGTGCACAAAGGGTCCAGGGCTCACTGCAGTACAGGAGTGTGTTCAGGACACAGGCTCTATAGACCTGGATCTTGGTATATGCCGTCAGCTTCTTATTGAGCCATACTCTCTTTGTGAGTCTAGAGAACATGGTAGCTGCTTTCCCTATGCGTTTATCCAGCTCGACATCTAGGGACGGAGTGTCAGAGATTGTTCAGCCAAGGCACACAAAGTCAGGAACAATCTCTAATTCTTGTGCAGAGATGGTAATAGAGGAAGGAGGGTCCACACCCTGGCCCATGACTTGTGTTTTATGTTCAGGCTGATTGTTAGTCCAAAGTCTTGGCAGGCCTTGCTAAAACGATGCATGAGTTGTTGGAGGTCTTCAGCAGAGTGGGCAACAACAGCTGCATCATCGGCAAAGAGGAAGTCCCACATGCATTTCAGTTGGACTTTGGTCTTTAGTCTCAGTCTAGAGAAATTAAAGAGCTTTCCATCTGATTTAGTCTGGAAAGAGACACCTTCTGTTGTAGTTACAAAGGGCTGCTTCAGCATGACAGCAAAAAAGATCCCAAACAGGGTTGGCACGAGGACACAGCCCTGTTTCACTCTGCTTTGGATGTCAAAGGGATCTGATATTGAGCCATCAAAAATTACAGTGCCCTTCATTTCCTCATGAAAGGACCTGATGATGTTAAGGAGTTGAGGTGGACATCCAATCTCGGGAAGTATTTTAAAAAGACCATCCCTGCTAAACCCAGGATAACATACTGAGGACCAAAACACAGTAGTCAGGCAGCTTTGCACTTAGAAGTGGAGCTGATGTAAAGAGTAAAGGATGTGTGATTTTCTTTAATGTTTTTTCTCAGTTTTCCAAGTTGCAAATTAGTTTGCTTTTGTTTTAGTTTTGATCATCAAGAAGAAACAACTAGATTCCATTGACTGGCTGGCTGGTTTTGTGAACACAGCAGATTTATAAAATATCTGTAGTGGCTAATAACATTTTACCACTCCCTAATGCTCCTGACTGTGTAAGCTGCTCTTTTTCAGTGTTTTGAGAGGCAAAGCATATGCTCTGCCACTGAACTGCAGCTTTTCCCCAAAGGTTACATGACTGGCCAATGTAATAACTGAATTTAATCAAATCAAGTTCTCCCACCATCCCCAAAGTATTCTGCACATGCAAGTCCGTATTCATCATAGCAGGTGCCTAAAGGCAGTGATTCAGTAAGGATAATTTGCAGGACTTGTTTACTACTAACCTCTTGCTCCCAATGAAACTGTAGCTGGCTCCGGTACATTTGAAACAAAATGTTTAAATATGACTACCAACAGTTAGTTTTAAAAGCACTGGGAACGACAAATCTCATGTACACAAAGGTACGATTCAATCCCCTGCTTGGAAGCTGAACCACAGAAGAACAGTTGAGCCCCAGGTGGCCCAGGCCCCACAAGTACACTGCAGAACAGTTTCTTCTGCACAGTGGTTTCAGATAACTCATGCAAGACAACAAAGTCACAGACTATTGAAAAGCAACAAACCAAAAACACACATTATTTTCAGGGTGAGCAGAATGGCAAGGAAACAGCTTGCAGTGCTTAAGAGTAATGTAAACTTACTGGCTTCCATACTTTGTCTTCTTGAACTTATCCCTCTTGTACTGGGCATGTTCCTGCTCTAGGTTTTTAACACTTGCAACAATCTGCTTTAGTGTCTTGTAGGTCTCCTGAGGGTCGTCGATGACAAAGGTTGAGTACTCTTCCTGCTCTGGCCCATCATACACAGATTTACTGCCACAGGCCTCTGTTAAAAAGAAGGAGGGGAGGGGGGCTGTAGCTCATATTTATGGCACTATAATAGATTTAAAAGCATCACTGCTGAACTGACACCAAGGTAATTTCTAATCAGCAGTAAGAGATTAAACACCAAAGCACAACTTGGAGAAGTTACTTTTTTTTCTAATTAGAGCTCCCAGAAGTTTCCACCAATCATGTTGGTTGGGGAATTTTTGAAGCTATTGTGTTAAAAACCTTTCCAAGCCCTGTCCTGCAGTAAAATGAACATAAAGATAACCATGCTCCACAAGTCTAAAATCCAGTGTAACACAGGCACCATTCAAGTAAAGGTTCCAGGAGGCATGAATTTGACACTCTCCTATGTATGTTCATAGCATCTGGTATTTTGAGGTCGTCGTCATTTAGTCATTTAGTCGTGTCCGACTCTTCGTGACCTCATGGACCAGAGCACACCAGTCCCTCCTATCTTCCACTGCCTCCCGGGGTTGTGTCAAATTCATTCTGGTAGCTTCGATGACATTGTCCAGCCATCTCATCCTCTGTCCTCCCTTTTTCCTCTTGCCGTCACACTTTCCTAACATCAAGGTCTTTTCCAGGGAATCTTCTCTTCTCATGAGATGGCCAAAGTATTGGAGCCTCAGCTTCAGGATCTGTCCTTCCAGTGAGCACTCAGGGTTGATTTCCTTTAGAATTGATAGGTTTGTTCTCCTTGCAGTCCAGGGGACTCTCAAGAGCCTCCTCCAGCACCACAATTCAAAGGCATCAATTCTTCGGTGGTCTGCTTTCTTTCTGGTCCAGCTCTCACTTCCATACACCACAACAGGAAAAACCATAGCTTTGACTATTCGGACTTTTGTTGGCAAGGTGATGTCTCTGCTTTTAAGATGCTGTCAAGGTTTGTCATCGCTTTCCTCCCAAGAAGCAAGCGTCTTTTAATCTCGTGGCTGCTGTCTCCATCTGCAGTGATCATGGAGCCCAAGAAAGTAAAATCTGTCACTGCCTCCATATCTTCCCCTTCTATTTGCCAGGAGGTGATGGAACCAGTGGCCATGATCTTAGTTTTTTTGATGTTGAGTTTCAGACCGTTTTTTGCGCTCTCCTCTTTCACTCTCATTACAAGGTTCTTTAATTCCTCCTCACTGTCTGCCATCAGAGTGGTGTCATCTGCATATCGGAGGTTGTTGATATTTCTTCTGGCAATCTTAATTCCAGTTTGGGATTCCTCCAGTCCAGCCTTCCACATGATGTATTCTGCATATAAGTTAAATAAGCTGGGGGACAATATACATCCTTGTCGTACTCCTTTCCCAATTTTGAACCAATCAGTTGTTCCATATCCAGCTCTAACTGTTCCTTCCTGTCCCACATACAGGTTTCTCAGGAGATAGACAAGGTGGTCAGGCACTCCCATTTCTTTAAGGATTTGCCATAATTTGCTGTGGTCCACACAGTCAAAGGCTTTTGCATAGTCAATGAAGCAGAAGTAGATATTTTTTCTGGAACTCTCTGGCTTTCTCCATGATCCAGCGCATGTTAGCAATTTGGTCTCTAGTTCCTCTGCCCCTTCGAAATGCAGCTTGTACTTCTGGGAGTTCTCGGTCCACACAGTGCTGAAGCCTACCTTGGAGGATTTTGAGCATAACCTTGCTAGTGTGTGAAATGAGTGCAATTCTACAGTAGTTGGAGCATTCTTTGGCACTGCCCTTCTTTGGGATTGGGATGTAGACTGATATTTTCTAGTCCTCTGGCTGGAGGTACCCTTCTTCTAAATGAACTTCCATGAGTGTCATATAATTCCTCTTGTAAAAATACCACAGGCATTGGCCAATAAAATAAAAATATATTAAGGAATAACTGCAACTTGTATCTTTCATTTAAGATTAAATGGGGAGAGAAAGCTAAAGCCCTGCCTCTGCCATGGGTCTGATCTACACCAGCACCTCTTTGGGTTCTAGGAGTGAAGTTCCCATTGCAGCCATTCAACCTTTGCTCCCAAAGCAAGTAAGGATCACAGGCAAAGGAGAGTGACGTTCTGGCCTTGGACCATGGCAAGGGCATAACTTAGATGCCCTCCATGAGTGCCATTCTTTGGTAGAAAGGCAGGATATAAACCCAGCAGACAGACAAGCTGCTTCTAACTGATTGTGAATTTAATAGGCTTCCAAGGTACGGTGCCAGCCTCCAGTGAATTTCCATGGCTGAATAAAGATCTCAACCTCAGCCTCCTAACACTCTTATCTACTAACCACACAGACTCTCTCTCTCTTTCTCTCTCTTTTCTTGAATGTTAACCAAAGCCCCAGAGTAGGCTCCCAGACCAGATCTTGTACTCCTCTGTGTCTGTTATTTAGCCAAAAGGGAAAGTCATACAAGAGCCAATCAAGTGATTCACTTTGCATCTAATTTGGTCTTAAGAATCCATACATGCCTGAAGCAATACAGCTTCCTTCCTGGAAAGAGCCTGGCTTTTTCAAAGTACAGAAATAAGAGCAAAGGGATGAGCAGCTCAGAAATGGAGACAGGTTGTAGGGGTGCAATTACATAGGGTCAAAGTCGGTTTAAATATATCTGAATCGACTGGCTTACATCCCACCAAGTTATATTTATATTATCGCTGAAGATAGCCTGACCCTTCCCTGTGCTGAAGCAGAATCTGAGGTTTGGCAAAGTGTAGTTCAAAATAGTTCTACAGTGTGCCAAGAAGTGCAGTGGACATATGATTCTCCCTCCCTCTGTTTACATTCATTTAATATGCCATCTGTCTAACATTCAGATTTCATTGACAAATTAAAACCAAACCAAACCAAACTAACATCGCTTGAATAGGCCCTCAAAACATTTGTGAGAAAAATAAACATGCAATGAGATAAGAGATGCAGCAAAAATCTAATTGCTTATTTAGATTTAACAACCATGCCCGCTTGTTGATTCTGAACAAATTACTAGCAGTATATGGCTGCTATAGGGCTTGGCAGTTAAATATATACTTCAGAATCATCATCTGATATGGAAAAAATTAGGAGTTGCAATTATGGGTGAAAGCAAAGTGCTATAATTGCTTATGAATATGAAAAAAATTACATATTGCATACACACATATGTAATGTATAGTAGGATTTTTTTTGGAGCAAGATAATCTTTAACACTGTTTTCTAAGATTTTCACTGGCAAAGGAGTGAAATGCATACTCACCTTGCATTTTCTCCAGTTTAGTCATATACAAATTGAATAGGGAATAGATGCGTTCAGTCTCTCTGTCTCCATCAATGTCTAACTGTATATTTGCTGGCAGGCCCCTACAAAATCATTTAGATAATATTAATATATTTAGCAATTCTTTTATCTTCATCTCCTATGGTTTAAAAGCTTTTGAATAACTGAAGAACCAAAGTTCAAAATGAAACACTGCCTGAAATCCTCTGTTGGTGTAAATTCATGCTGGAAGATGTCCTCATCAGGCAAAGAATATATTTATTTTAATTTAATTAACATCCTCCCATCCTCCATATTTGGGTTCTGAGGTTCAGGTATCCCTTTTGCCCTCGGGAAGTTTTTGACAGCCTTGGGATGGAGGGGTGCTTTTAATATTGGAATACTTTTGCCAGATTGCCAGCAGCAGTCCGAATCCATCAGTGGGACTGCCAGTGGTGATTTTCCAATAATTAAGGTTCTTCCCTCTCCCCTCACCTCCCCATCCCGAGGCTCCCAAAGGCTTCCCAAGGGCCCCTCGGAACTTGAAAGGGTGGTCAGGAAGAGTTGTGCTAACAGGATTTCAACCAATATAAGTTACAGAAATGGGATCCATTTTAAACATACGGAGTTAAATCCAATGTTAGTCCCAACTGGAGTAAATCCACAGAATATCAAGGGCTTAAATAAGCAATGGCAAACAAGACCAAATCATTTCAATGCATGTACTCTGTGGGACTAACACTGGATTTATTAGAACAGATATTTTGAGAACTGAACCACTGAAAGTGATCTACTGCCAGTACTGTATTGAAGGAATGGATAATTTGCAGTCAGTTAATAAATGACTATCTGTTTGCTTAATTTTTAGTTTATGATTAACTCAGGAATTCAACCACTTCTAATAGTGGTTTCAGAGAATAGTTAAATATGCATATAAATAAAACATTTGGAAAGAAACTTTTTAAAGGGAATGGGCCGTGGGCTATGGCATTCTCTTAGGAATTTCCACTTGCATAAGAGAGAAAAAGGAAGACTTTTTGACAATGTGGTAGAACATCACATTTGCTGGAAGTTGTCTTTGTAACTACAGTATTTAAAACAATGAAATCTATCTCCTCATTAATTGGAGAAATATTTTAGCCAGTAAGAACATTTCTAAAACTAATCTGTGTGATTAATACGTTATTAACACTGCAGCCATAATAAAGCTGAATAAAAGAAGATTTCTAAGATTATCCAGTATTACGAAGAGAGCATGTATGCAGACAGTGAAAGGAACACTAGGATGACAAAACAAGGTGGGAATAATTTATCACATGCCAACACAGACCTGCCTGCTCAAGATTTAGCATCCTTTCTCAAACTTGCATTATCTATAGCTAGCCACTTCATCATCAAAATGCTTAAAAAGCAAAATTTAGAATAGGCAACATCCTAGAAAGTCCTTACCCAGTGCAGGGAGTACAGCCAGGAGTATTATCTGCTGTAGCTTTACAGCACAGCCAGTGCCCATTAAGATATGCAGAGGGATGGTAGACAGTGAGACGCTTCTTGTTGCACTGGCTAACTTTGGTGAGGATATCAATCCAGTCCTTGGCCTCAACACAATTATTTGCCTGGATGTACAGGACTCTTTCAGGCTGAATTACCTGGAACATCTGAAAGGCAGAAGATGTATGTGTGGAGGGGGGAAGGAGTCAATGATACACAAACAAGACCACTTAAATTCTAGAGAGAGAGGTTTGATTGAGAGACATCTTTAAAATCGTGGTTGGTCCACTGGGTTCAGTGCCAAGATTAGACCATGGGATTATTAATTTTAATTCTAGATCCTTTGTCATGAACTTTGTATGAGCATCTTCCACAGCAATAATATGAGAGCCATGGCTAAGCAAAGATAGAACCTTCAATTATTTTGGCTTCTTTTTCAATTTCTAGCTTCTACCATGACTCTGAGTGCTGAAAATAAGTCAAAAGAACCAAAGTTTCTATCTTTGCCCTGCCATGATAGTCAGCTGGTGAGGCCCACAAGTCTAACCTACCTTATAAGACTAAAATGAGATAATCTCAGTTTCTACTCCTTAAGTGGGGAGGTGCGGAAAATGCAATGATGGTAGGTAAGTAGAGTAAGTTTCCTATAATTTTCATATTCCATTCATATATAAAGGCCTGACTTAATGAAATCATATGCGCAAAATTTTAAAAATAACGACTAGGACAAGCAGATACAATCTTATAGAAATGTCTCTTTCTATAAAATATGTACCATATTTTTCCGTGTATAAAATGAGACTTTTTACTTAAATAATTAAACCAAAAATTGAGGGTCGTTTTATACACGGAAGGCAGCCGCTTTCCCTGCCTTTTGAAAAGCCACAGAGTAAAGCAGCCATGAAAGGGCATCAGGATCAAAGGGGCACGTGTGCGCTGCCCTTTCATGGCTGCATTATCCATTTCCTAAGCTCCACAGGGCTTAGCAAGCGAGAAACGGCACCAGGAAAGGGGAGGATGATCAAAGCAGTGCGAGCGTGCAAATTTTCTAATTTGGGGGTTAGAAAAGGGGGGGTCGTCTTATACTTTGGGCCATCTGATAAATGGAAAAATATGGTATTTCAGTTGCTTCGTCTTCAATTATAATTTTATTTTTCTTCATTTATTTAAAATATCCCATCTTTGCTACCACTGTAATCAAAATAGTTAGACAGGGTTTTTTTTTAAAAAAGAAAACCTAGTAAATCTTCAATAATAGTATATATTGTGTAAGTCAGAGGAGGTTCCTCTGTTGTGTTTACATACTTTTTATCTGGACAATTTTGCTTTCAACTTTAGGAAATATATATCCCAGCTATTTATTTATTTATTTATTTCCCACCCATCTAGACCAAAGGTCTACTCTGTAATATGAGATGCAAAAATGCATAAATATATACATGTAACTCATAACTTAGACATACAGATAGAAGAGATATCATTTTGTATTAGCTGTGAATACACATAAAGCCCTCCTTTAAAAAAAAAAACCCAGAAAGCAATTACTGTAATCTTATTTACATTTTGCAGTTCAGTTGCCCCATGTTGCAGGATGTTTGTCTTCTGAGGCTAAATAAAATAATTTTACCCCTGGGAAACAGGCAGTGTAATCATAAGGCAATACAATAAAGAAACATTTGTATAAAGTAAGGGGGTGATTACATAGCCATATAACCTGCTGTTTAGTCCACCGTGGGAACGGGCTGGTTTGCTCCTAAAGCTGGCAATTAGATGACGTCTTTGCTGGAGTGAACCAGGCCGCCCCCAGAGCATTCCTACCAGCACCTTTCTGGCCCATCAGGGAATTCTACTTTTTTGGTGCAGGTAGGATTGCTCTGTTTAGCTTAGTTACCAGCACCTGTGATCACTGGAAATTAACCAAAGTGAGATGGTAGATTCAAGCTTCCTGCTTCAATCTGCTGGTTCCTTTCAATTTCCCTGTTATCATTAGTGAATAGATAGTTTAAATCTATATATAAAATATCAATTTATATATTTGATATTTTTGGATATGAGCGGATGAAATTATATCCAAGGTTTGATATATATAGCCTTTAGTCAAATAATATATATTAGGACAGCACCGGTACACTGTACCTTTTAAAGAAAATTTAAAATGTATTTATTCATTTATTATTTTGACTTCTGTCCCACCTCATCAGTGTGAATACTCTCTGGGCAGCTCACAATGCATCAAAATATAATGACAATAATACAAACAAACAAAATGCAATAAATACAGTACAATCCTGTCTAGGTGAATCAATAAAATCTGCATGCAAATGAATGAAACATTTTTTTAAATGAACATACCAGGTCAATTAGTTAAAATACTAGTAAAAGGCAGCTTTATATAGTTTGGTTTCAATTAACTTCCTGAAACTGAGAGGGATAACACCCGGTGAACCTCTCTAGGAAGCTTATTTCAGGGTGAAGGGTCCATGACCAAGAAAGCATAGTTCCTGGTATTAGCTCATTTCGCTTCCTGAAGTATCACAATTTTTAACATCAAGCACTGTGGGGAGTGGGTGGGACAGATACCTGTTTTGTGGGACAGGTGTTCCAACAAGTATTGAGGTGCTAAACCATTGAGGGATTTATGTACATAGTCCATTCCATGGTTATTTCCTTTGTTGATTTTATGAGCCACAACGGGCAAGGACCTAGAAAAGAGGTTCCGGCTTTGCAGCATGCAAGTGCTATGCCCTCATCCCTCAGGCCATTCAAACTGAAACTGATTCAGTTTAATCAGACCAGATGGTGCCTTGGACATCTCATTCAGATCTACTGGTATCAACAAAGGAGTTAAGGTCTCGACTGATGCCTTCAACCTTTGACCTAAAATGGGCTGCCTGCCAGTCAGTTACAATTAACAGCATTTGGATGTAAAAAATGTTTTTGTCTGGGAGAAATAAGGCTATGGACTACCTAGAAAAGTTCCACCTCTGATTAGAAGCAGCCTCAATTAGTTGGATATTGTGGCTTATTTTAGTGGCAAATTTCTTATGATATCTCTCAGAAGTTTCCCTGAGAGCTGCCAAGTTGCACTCCATGCTCTCTAGCCTTCTTTGTCATTGCTTCATTGCCTTTAACTCCTCCGTGAACCACAGAGAAGGCCAGGCTCTGCAACAAAGAGGGCCTTTTAGAGTCATTGAGTCTAAGGCTCAGGTCGCTCCTAAATACCAATGACTGACCAGAGCTTCAAGAGGAGCATCAACCATATCATCTGGAAAAAAAATTCCTAAGACATTTTGGAAACCAGTAGGACCCATCAGTCTTCAGTCTTCCTCCTGGAAGCAGGAAGAGAAACGAGCAAGCAGGGAAGGGGATTTTTCCCTTCCTACCTTCGCTCCCCCTCCCCGCTTTTTTAAATCCCTGCCAAAATTGACTTCGCAGACTTAAAAAAAAAGAGGAAGGAAGGAAGAACGACGGGTTACCCACCTGTAATTGTAGTTCTTTGAGCGGTCTTCTGGTGAGTCAAACCCTGGGTGATCCATGCCTGTGCAGAACGTCATTGGAAAGTTCTAGAGCTTCTGCAGTAGCAAAAAACACATTAGAATAAGGCCCCTCCCGCCTCGTATAAGTACCTTGGCGCCAAGAACAGTGGGGAGGATGGGCGGGATGTGTGAATCACAGAGGTCCACTTGAAGAACTACAATTACAGGTGAGTAACCTGTCATTCTTCTTCATGACCTCTGTGAATCACACCCTGGGTGACTAAAAAGGTGTCTTACCCAGAGGCAGGGTGTCACACTGAGGTAGAGGCTAGAACAGCACGTCCAAAGGCCACATCAGACTTTTGCCAACGATCAAGTCTATAATGCCGGATGAAAGTGGACAGCTGGCAGAGGCACATGTGGCCCAGGTGGCAGAGGCACAGACATCTAGAAGAGGTACACCGTGTAGGAATGCCATAGAGGTTGCCACTGCTCTGGTGGAGTGAGGGCGAATCACCTTCAGGACTGGTTTGCGTGCCAGCTGATACATGAGGTGAATGGCTGAAGCAACCCATCTAGATATAGTTTGAGACGTCACCTGGCAACCTTTAGTAGGTGGTTGGTGACTTATGAAAAGTCGAGGTGGTAAGTAGCCATAAATCCTGTGTTGGACGTAAAAGGGCTCTCCTAACATCTAAGTATGGAGGATTTTTTCTTGAGTTGTGGACGATGATGGGAAGAACGATAAATGGCTGAGAGAGATGGAACTGAGATACGACTTTGGGGAGGAAAGAAATATGCATGGATAGTTTGACTTTGTCCAGAAAACTGTAAATAAGGATAGTCATGACATAAGGCTGCTAAATCATTAGCTTTTTGAGCTGAGCTGATGGCGACGAGGAAAACTGTTTTAAAGGTAAGTAGCCATAAATCAGTTAAAGCTAAAAGTTTGAAATGAACTTTAATAAGTTGTTGCAGTACTAGTGTTAGTGAACATTGCAGGGAAGGTGGTGGGTATCTGTGTAAATACGAGATAGACCTTTAAGAAAACCTTTCAATGTTGGATGTTTGAAGAAATCAGCTGCCGGAGAGTTAAGGGGCTGAAAAGAAACTCTCAAGGAAGAGAGGGAAATGCCGCTAGACTTGAGATGTTGTTGTGTTGTGAGATGGGTTGTAAGGAGTAAATTTGAGGAGTAAATTTCTTATTTCCTCTTGTAGGGTTGGAGATGGTGGAGTGATAACGTGTGTTGCCACAGGAAGTTGGAAGAAACGGATGCGGTAGCTGTCGCAGATGATGGACAATACCCATGCATCTATAGTGATGGATTCCCAGACAGGTAGGTGTTTCCAGAGGGCAGGATGGTTGGAGTGGGTGTGCGCTCTCGGTCATGGTAGTGTCAAACATGATGTTTGGGCTTGCGGTTGATGCACCTAGTAATGGGTTGTTGGCGGGGTTTATTTCTTAGATTTCTGAAATAAGGTGTATAAGATGTTTGTTACATAGGATGATGTTGGAATTTTTGATATGAGTTGTAGGGTTGTCTCCACTGATTTTGTTGGGGGTGTTGTGGGTAAGATGGATAAACTCCCCAACATCTAGCTGCTGATCTTTTCTTTTGCATGTTTTCCAAAATATCATCAGTCTCAGCATTAAAGAGGCCTGTGCCATCGAATGGGAGGTCTTCAATACGTGTGCGGGCATCCTCAGCCAGGCCAGCTGTCCTTAGCCAAGAGAAACATCATAAGGCTACTGAAGTGGCCATTGACTTTGTTGTGGCTTCTAACTTGTACCTAGCAGAAAGCATCTGTTGTTTGGCAACAGAAAGACCTTCTTGTTGAAAGCTTTGGGCAAGTACTTTTTTATCTACTGGCAAAGATTTGACAAAGGTTGACATATTGTCGCAAAGGAAACATTGATATGGACCCATGGCTCCCTGCTAGTTAGCGACACGCATGGTGAATGGTGCTGTTGAATAAAGCCATCTTCCCATTGAGTCAATCCTTCTGTCTTTATTTGGTGGTATGAGGGTCTGTCGATGTCGAGATCCGGATTGTGAGGCTTCAACAAAATAGAGTTTGGAACTGGTTGTTTTTGAAGAAATAGCGCTCCAGGATCATGGACTCTGTAGAGGTTATTGATTCATTTAGACATGATATGGGAAGAGGCTGGTTTTATCCAGGATTGCTGAGCAGTGCTGAGTAGAGACGGAAGCACTGAGATGTGTACTGGACTAGTTGTATCTTTAGAGCTTGGGTTGCATAGATGATTGGGTGGTTCTGTCGAAGGAAGTTTGATTTGGAAATTAAGAGACTTAGCCATACGGATCATAAATTGGGCGTAAGTTGGTAAGTCTTCTGCCGGTGATGGTGGGTCTGCATTGACAAGGTTGGATTCCGGTGAGGTATGGATCATAAATTGGGCGTAAGTTAGTAAGTCTTCTGCTGGTGATGGTGGGTCGGCATTGACAAGGTTGGATTCCGGTGAGGTAAGTAATACTGACAGCGTCTGAGGTCTGGATCCGTGATCAGAATAATCAGGATTGTGTCAGGAGTTGACTGATTGTCGGTCAACTTTGTTGTCGGTACGTTGAGTGTCATAGTATTGACATTTGTGGCTCATTGTCAATGGAGGCGGCATGTCCATGGGCATTTATTGGTGTTGAGGATTTTCAATACCGAGAGATGTCATCTGAGTGTCCATAGATGTCATTTGATATGGCTGAATGTTGGTGTCGAACTCGGGGTCATAGTGATGTCGAGTTCGATGGCTTGGTTCTATCGGGCGATGGAAATCGTGTGTTGATAGAGGGACAGGACGAGTGTCTATGGACCAGGATGGATATTGAGAATCATCAGTATCAAAGCCTGTGCTTCGGTGATGTTGAAACGGAGGTTGTTGATGAGCTGGTAAAGCAGTGGAGTATATAGACACTGGAGATGCTGAGCCAGAGGAATGATTTCCCTCATCTGGATGAGTGGGAAAATATCAGGAGGGTGGAGCTGTAAAAGTCTTGCATGTAGAAGAAAATTGCTCGCCCATCCTGGGTCTTTTAGGTGCCAGGTAGGGAGCAGGTTGGAGTTGATGTGGGTCACGGTGATATGGCCTGTTTCAACACCGATGGCTGTCGAGATTGAGGCCTGCCATGGGAAGGTATGGCTGAGCTGAATAGAGCAACTGGCTGATTGGCGGTTACAGTTTGTCTGGTTGAAGACTGGTCGAGGCAAATGGCAACCCGGTGAGAGTGCTGAACACGGGTCTGATGCGTGATGAAATAAATGGCTCCAGGGACTGTTGGGGCTGATGTCCCTGAGGAGGTCACAGTGGACCATCAGATGTTACCGAATAAGTTGTTGTTGTTTGGAGTCAACCCGGTCAGGTGAAGCAACTACTACGGTAGGGTTGCTCAAAAGAACAGAGTGTTGAGGACTGGGAGGAGAAGATGTTAATCAATCGACTCTGTCATCCCAGTCTGGTGATTGGGAGCAGGGTTGATGAGAGGGGATTCCATCATCGTCAGAAGGTGAACGAATAGAGGTTGATTCGGCGGTTTGTTGAGGCTGCTGAGAAATAACTGCAGCTTTAGATTTATGCTGTTTAGGTCTTTTAGGCGGAGAAGGCTGTGGAACAGAAGAGGCTTCAGTGGACATTTGACGTTTAGTGGAGGGTTTCAATATCGAGGATTTTGGTATCGAGCGCTTCGATTTATGGTTATTTGAAGTTTTAGATGAAGTGGATGGAGCATTGGAGCGGTCGATGGACGTTGTTTTGAGGCTTCAGAAAGAGCCTTGTCCATTGCTCTGGTTTGTGAGGTGGCCTTACAAGGAGATTGGGCCCTTTTGGTTGGTTGAAGGGATTGTTCCCAAAGATGGAGTTTTAATCTGGATAAGCGAGAACGGAGGACTCCGCGCCTGAAATTCTTACAATGCTGGCAGGCGGGCATCTAGTGTGCCTCTCCCAAGCAAAAAAGACACTTGGCGTGGCCATTGGAGAGTGGTATTTTGTTATCACAGACCACACAGTGTTTAAACAGGCCCAAAGGGGCCATGAATAGGAAAAAATAATTTGAGGAGAAAAAAGATGATGGGGGGTGCTGCGGCCAGAGGCTGAGCGAAGTAGAAAAGAAAAAATCTCTGATGATAATGAATTTGACCTAAAAGTTTAAAGGAAAAAAGATTGATAACAGGAAGGAATCAAGATTAAACTCCCTTTCTCTTTTACTCACAGAAGCAGAACTATGAGGCTCTCAACGTGGCAGCTGAAAGAAAACTGAAGGGGAGCTTTGGCAGCAAGGTACTTATTCGAGGGGGGAGGGGCCTTATTCTATTGTGTTTTTTGCTACCGCAGAAGCTCTAGAACTTTCCAACGAGGCTCCATGCAGGAGCGGATCACCCAGGGTGTAATTTGCAGAGGCCACGAAGAAGAACCCACTTAACCTCTTCCTGTCTCCTCCCACTCTCATGAGGAAGCCTTCAGTTTTCTAAAAAAAAATCTAGAAGGTACAGCAGACAAATAGGGTCTCTATGCCATGTGGACACAAAGATTGCACCACATGGCATATGCAATCTCTATGCAACCCTGTTTAGCCCACTCCACCCTGCTCCAGCCCAGTTACATAGCCTCAGAGTATCATAAACCTAGTAATTGCAGGAGAAAAATACTATTAGCATGCTGCAGTTAGCTGAATTCTAATTTATTTCTAGCAAAACAGGCTATTATTTTGAGATATTCACATTGCAGGACTTAAGGTGGAATAGCTATGACATTTTTTGCATGCTGACACAGTGGCCAAAATCCTGCTGCTCTAGATTAGTAAATTGCACGGAAATAGGCCCACTGAATCAATTTTTCCACAAGTTCCATTAGTTCAAATGCTAACTCCAACTGTGACTTACTAAATCCTCATGGATTCAAAGGGCCTACTGTAGTGCAATTTTCTACACTAAACAACAGAATTTTGGTCTACATGTATGAAACATTCCTTTACAAATACAGACTGCAAGTGGATGTTAATAAAGTATAGTTTTTTAAAATGAAGAGAGAAATGCAGGGCGAGCTGCTTACATTTTTCATTTTGAAAGATTCTTCCTCTAATTTTTCTACTGCCAGAATGTTTTCAATTGGAATGTTGCACAGCGGATGGTCACCTATAGTGGGCAATTGCAGAAAAAGAAGCAGGTTGTTTTAAAACTCTGTCTTTTACACACTGATTCCATGACTGTCAGAGGAACTAAGTAAAATGACAGTGTAGATTTTAAAGGAATACACTTATTTTACATTACAAATGCTGTAAAATACTAAAAGAAAAACCTGAAGTGCTGCAGGCCATGTAGAATTGAAAATACAATGAAAGTAGCCTTCATTCCTTTATAGCTATTATTTAAAAGAAAATATCAAGAAATTGCCACAATTTCATACCAATATTGCACTTTACACTACCATAAATTTCTGAAGTAACTAGGCAGTCCTCTGTTGTTGTTTTTTTGACAAGATTTTTCTGTTTTTAAAAGTTTGATATTAATAATTGTTTCTTAAAGGCAGCAATAATGATACCTTTGCTCTTCTGATAGGTAAATTCGTGGTTCGTGAGTCGAAACCACCTCCTCTTGAAGTTCTTCATTCCAAACCGTTTCCTCCCTTGTGCCCTCTTGATCATGAACCTATTGCAGATGAGATCACAGCAACATTATCCCTCTTATTTATTTATTTATTTGATTTATTTGATTTATATCCTGCTCATCTGGTATATTCTACCACTTTGGGTGGCTTAGTGTGACCTCAGAAACAAGTGAAATAAGTCACCAAGAAACACATATGTATGTATGAACTTATATTTTGGATACACTTGTTTGCTCATTTCAGCTAAATACCGTATTTGCCAGCGTACAAGATGACTTTTTTGGCCCCAAAAAATGCCTCCAAATAGGGGGGCGCGCGTCGTCTTGTACGCTGGGTGCACTTCATATAGGGGGGGTGCGTCGTCTTGTACGCTGGGTGCACTTCATTTGGGCCAGGAAGGAGCTGCCGACGTCGCCGTTGAGTGAGTGACGCGGGGTCGCGCCGGCCGGAGAGGAAGGCAGGCGGGCAGGCAGGCGGTCGGTCCGGATGGAGGGAGGGAAGCAGAGCCAGCCATGCCTATGCAGCCAGAGCCCACCGCCCCGCACCGCTGAGCCAGCTCGCCTGCTCGCCCACGCGCCACTGGAGAGCTGCTTCTCCTTCCCCTCCTCCCCCTCCACCGCCCGCTTCCCTTTCCTTCTTGCCCTCGCAGCTGAGCCAGCTCGCCTGCGCGCCACCGGAGAGCTGCTTCTCCTTCCCCTCCTCCCCCTCCTCCGCTGCCCGCTTCCCTTTCCTTCTTGCCGTCGCAGCTGAGCCAGCTTGCCCGCTTGCCACCGGAGAGCTGCTTCTCCTTCCCCTCCTCCTCCTCCGCTGCCCGCTTCCCTTTCCTTCTTGCCCTCGCAGCTGAGCCAGCTCGCCTGCGCACCACCGGAGAGCTGCTTCTCCTTCCCCTCCACCTTCTCTGCCGCCGCTGCCCACCCGCTCGCTTCCCTTTCTTTTCCTTCTCGCCCTCCTCGTTGCCGGCCATGAACTCTATATTTTGAGTGGACATGTTGGGGGGTCATCTAATATGCCCAGTCGCCTTGTACGCCGGCAAATACGGTAGTCACTTCTCCTCAGAACTACACCATGCCAGATCACCTGTAGGTGACTCTTGAGGGTAAAAGAGTGCCCTCATAATAAACCTGAGCTTGACCCAGAAGAGTAACTAAATCCTTTCCACATGGAAGGATTTCAGACACATGATTCCCCCACAAAGACTATGAAATGCCACCATTGCATAAACCTTGGAAAGAGTTTGCCTGAACTTTGGAGCTGCACCCACTCTCAATAAGGGCTAAGAATAATCAATAACGTAATATCAGCAACCAATCTGGGAAAAAAATCATTTTGAAAGTCGTTCCCTGTAATCAAATATTAAGTATGTAAGTGTCCTATAGACTCCTCTATGTATGAAGTATTTATAATGTATTTAAATAGATAGCTACACTGGACAGAAAGACATGTCTTACAAATACTCACAAACATATACAATTCTTGTATAGGTAAACTTAATCTGGTAAAAAAAAACATAGGGCATTTTCAAGAGAGGCACAGCTGAGTTATAAAATGAGAGTGGATGTTCAAAGGAAAAAAGAAGAAATGAACTTTCAGGAGGTGTAATACTAGAAGCCTTGAGGACAGAGCTGAATTGTTATCACATTCCTTCTCCTGAACTAAAAGAGCTTTGCTGACACTTGATGGCATAACAGCTTCTGTTTTTGCTAAGACCAATCAACCTTTGGGTAAAAAGGTACTTACAGACCTGGACAACTGAGTTACTCAGTTATTTAAATCTTCACCCATTTTGTGATAAGTTGAAGTCTTATATATTTAAGATGGGTGCATATATGCACCAACCTTCAGAGTGTCACCACCTTAAAAATCATTTTTATTTCCCCTTTAACAGAAATTGAGCTAAGGTAATTAATTAAAAACAATAATGAATTAAACAGAAATAGGAAGCCAAGATGTTGCACACCGTACACCATCCTATCGAAAAACAAAACAGGAAATGCAAACCCCTATCAAAATGTCAAACTCCAAGGTGGAGCTAGAGGTAAGCTACTGAAACCTGAAATTTAGAAGTATTTCCACAAAATCCCAAAGGATTAGATTTTAGTAACCTCTGGGAGGCAAAAAAGTTAATGCCTTGGGGGGCAATCTTGAGAAGGCATGCCTGTACGCTCATATAATTTGATTTCATTTTCTGTAAGGCCCTGAAGACAATTTCAGCAGATTTTAATTAAAACACAGGGAAGAACAGGTAATTTGAGATAACATTTAAGAATCTTTAGGCTAAATCCCTATCACTTGTGACTAAACAGCTAAAGGAAAGCAAGACAGCTCTGGTTTATTAGGCTTCTAGAAGACACACATATTAAAAGTAGGTCTTGAAAGTTGTGATGGAATGAACTGTCAGCCAATGAGACTTATATGCAAACTTCAGGGCTTAAGCCCATAGGCCCAGCAGATATAGCACTGGAAGTAGCATGAACCAAAACTCAAAGGGTGACAATAAAAGTCTGGATTAAAGGAGATTCAGGAACACAAGAATGGGAACTGGCTCAGCCTGCAGCCCACCTACTCCATCCACAGCCTGTGTCTGCTGTCCTCTGAAGCTTCCCATGCCTTCATCCATAATTCTTAAGATAGCTAAAACAGCTCTAACCAACGTTGATGCTTGCTTTCTAATATTTTGCTTTTCCAATGCACATTCCCAAGCATGTTCAGAATCAAATATTTTAAGACCATTTCAAGGGTGATGAAGACGGAAGGAGCTTCCCTAAAGAAGATGAGGACTGTGAACACATTTGGGCGTCCCCTGGGCAATGAGAGCGCCATTTCAGCTGATCCTTCTACTCAAGAGGCACCACTGGACTGCTTCTGACACAAGCTAAGAAGATTGCTGATGGTAACAGCACTGACAGTGGTTGTTTTGGTAATGACCAGAACATGTATAACTGTATTTAGGAAAAGAAGATTGCCAGTTACTTTATTTGTAGAACTTGGAACGTTAGCACAATTGATTTAAGGTGTTCGTTAAATTAAGCTAATTTAATTTAAATTTATGTAAGGTTCTCAATCAATTCAATTCAAGATTAAATTAGACACTACGTAAGTTATTAGCTGCCACCCTCCCCAAAACCACATGTGTGAATTATCCCAGATAACCTCCTATAAAGAAAAGATCATTAGGAACTTTAAAAGGCCAGTCTCCTCAGTATAATTAGCATTCATGTTATTTTACCATTGTTACTCATGACAGAGGTTCTTACATTCTGTACATCACAAGCTTCAATGGAATATACCTGTATATCAAAGTGTCTGTCACCCCATTGTTAAATACCTACTGATTTTCTTATCAACCAATCAACCAACCATGATCTCTGTATTTTGATGCCATGTATAAATATTTGCCATGTTATATCTTTCTCTTATTATGTCTGAGAAAGTGGACTTGTCCATAAAAGCTCACATTAAAATACAACAGTTAGTCTTTAAGGTGGCACCACATTTTTGTCCGTTTTATTTATTCTTTTATTTCAAATTTTTAATATTGTTTTTACCTATAACATATGCACAAACTAACACAGCTACCTCTTCTATTACTATGGTTGGCATTTGTTGTTTATTATTTCCTCTTTTAGTAATCTATGCTGGATTGCCCAATCTGGCACTTTCAAGATGCCAAATCCTACCATTCAACTGCTGGGTAGGAATGGTGGGATATGTAATCTAACACAGTGGTCAGGGAACAGGGGTAAATTACCCCAAATGGGGTAAAAATGAAAATCCTGGGGGTAATGAGGACGCAACCCTAACCCCCTTCCTTCCTCCTCCTCCTACTCTGCCTGGAGGGGGGGGGTTCCCGGCTGCCCGATCACCCCTTTCCACCCCCTTCTCCAGCCCAGCTGCAACTGAGCCACGGTGGATGAATTTTTTAGGGGGTAAAAGGTAAAAAAGTTCCCTGACCCCTGATCTAACACATCTGGAAAAATGCCAGCTTGGTGAACACTCCCCTCAAGAATGGATCTAAGCAGCTGTTTGATACAGCTTTGTTGCTCTCCCCTCATATACATGCTGTGAACTCCACTCACATGCTGTGAACTCCACTCCTGGTGCTGTTGTTGCCATGACCAATTCTACCTATTCTCCTAGCCACTCACTCACTCCTTCCATCCCCAATGGATTAAAATGCTTTAAATGTTTAATTTTAAATTAATCATGACCTAATTGAATCAAGTCACCATTCTAATTGACTTTGCCCTAAATTGAGCCAAACATTAATGTTAACCATCTTAATTAAACATCATTTGTTTACTTTATACCAAGACCTGAATTAAGGAGATTTTCTGTAAGATAATGTAGCTTGTTCTCTCCTATCTGAAAAAGATCAAACAAGCAATGAGTGCTTGCTGAGTGACCAAGACCTTCTCTATGCCAGCTAACAGCAAAATGAGAAGAGAGACCACAAATATTTTAGGCATCACATATCAGTTTACAGTTCTGACCCTGGTGAATTACTGGCTTTCTCTTATTTGGTATAGAGGCATGATAAAGCACAGGGAGAGTTATAAGGCACACATAACTCATACTGACCACTTAAACAATTATTCCTCCAGGAGGAACCAAAATCATAGCTTTGCTCAATGAACCTTGAGTTACAGACAATTTTTTGATGTAGTTATGACTAATATTAGACTTAACATCTCAATGTCTTACAAAATATTCTGATGGAATTTTAAGAAGCTTTAGCTTTATATTTAAAATCATTAGATAAGGTATCTACTTTGAGAGAAAAATAAACAAACACACACTTCTATGTGTTCACAGTAGCTGCCAAAGCATCACATTTGGAAACATCCCCATCCGTTTTTCAGCCACACTCCATGGACATTAAGCACAGCTTAATTCCGTTTTGTCAAAGTCAAGTCAAACATGCTATCTTGACATGAAGGGAGAAGACGCTGTTGACAGGTAGCTATGGCTAAGTGCCAACTGCCCTTACCATCTTACCTGCATGAACTATTATCATCAACTTTCTTTATTGTTAGTTTAAGAGTCCTTAACCCAGCAGGCCAAGCAAGAAGAGACAGAAAAAAATCAGACAGAAGCAAAAAATCAAAAAGACAGATGCAGAAATATCACATTTAACTATTAAGAAGGGAATGATACAATACCATATGTGATTCTTTTTAAAAGCAAAAGAATGCAAATTAAAAAAAACCATGATAACACTTCTGGAGTTAACATAAATATGGGGTATTATTAAAATTAATTACATCTAAAAGAAGGCAGGATTTCTAGCTTCAGCTCATTTATATTTAGTACAGTATTTTGTAACTGAGAAAATTGTTTTTGTGAAAATGGAACTCCTTGTATTTTCAGTTACAATCCTACCCTTGAAGGGTAGAATCCTACCCTTGTAGTTCCTCTAATTTGGTAGCATTTACAGTTTTTAGAACTGAATTTTCTATTTCTTCCTTCCAAATCTTCAGTGGATATATATTAGATTCCACTGCATACAAGAGTTAATATCATTTATTCTTCATATGCCTTTATTTATTTAAAACAACCTGTTATAAACTCACCCTTCCTTTAGTAGTATTGGCTGCTCTATACTTTTGTGATCTCTTCTTCCAGAAGATGAAATCAAATCTAGGAACTTGGAGGAGAAAACAATAAACATATATGAAATAAGTATTTAGAGTTTGTAATTATTTCTGTAGCCAGAGCTGAAAAAGAACAAATTGAAATGCTAGCTCTAAAAGATTAACTATTTTCCATTTATTGACAAGAAGATAATTATTTGCACGTGAACATAACGTTTTCAATTAAGTGAACTAGCTGATCTATGCCAAATTATATTGTATATAAAGAGTTTGTATATAAAAATAGTCATCTTACTAGGGCTTTATGCTGGCACAACTACACATATTACAGGGGTAAATCACTACTAATTAGCAAGCTGCCACTTGCACTGCTGGTTGAGTGTCAGTTGCATGACTTGGCGTATGACCAAGAATGTAAGCAGTAACTTGTTAATTAGTGGCAATTCAACATCATGATTTATTTAATTATACTTACGCCGGTGTCAGTCCCCAATAGGATTTGGGGTAGCATGTTAATTTCAACATATTAATGTTAAATTAGTTTTTTCATTAATGGGACAAAATGTCATCAAATCACCTTGTGTCTTCAAAAGGGTATTTTAAAATTAACATTGACAAGATAAATCATTAACATGCAACTGTATTTAGATTTGCTATGTTGTTACCCGCCCAGAGTAGTCGGTACAACTAGATGGGTGGCCCATAAATGTAACAAATAAATAAATAAATAACAGTTATGACTGTGCACATGTGTATGTACACTCCCCACCCGTTTTCTTTAGAATATTAAAAAAGCTACCCCTGAAATTACAGTCTTCTAAAATAAAAGCTTTTGAGACCCCAGCCTTACTCTCCTGCTCAATTATATAGGCCACAGTTTACAATTTCTTACCAAACCAGCACCTCTGTGGAATATTCACACAATAGAAAATGACAAACTTCATTTATAATAGGTATGTTTGAAATATGCTTTTAGAAGCTTTCATTTTGAGCAACACTAGCCTTGGATCTCAAATGTGAATTCAGCTTGGAATATTTGCACGTCCTTCCTTAAACATAACTATCTCTGGAGAAATTTTTATAGAGGCTTATATTAATCTTGCTGGAGCAAGAACACACTCCTATGGCACTTTTACAGACTAACCAATTTATTAAAGCATAAATATGAAGTCTGCCTTTATCTTTTCTGAAAGGTAATGCCTGTTTGTTTTCTTTTGACTGTATTGCTGCTGGTCCTACAAGCTGTGAGAGAACAACGGAAAGTTTGCCTTCTCACTAGACTTGTTGAGAAATCTTAAACCTTTTGTGGTACATCACCTGCATGAGTGTGTTATGTGCTGCCAAGTCGCTTCCAACCTCAGGCAACCCTAATACAGTTTTAGAGGTGTCTCAGATGTTCAAAGAATGGCTTTCTGTTGCCACTCCCCAGTGAGTTTCCAAAGATGAGCGAGGATTTGAACTCTGGTTTTCCATACCACATTGGTTCTGCATCTGAATCACCTGTCCATTTACCAGTAATTTGACAGTAACCCACACTACCTTTTTTTCATGTTCTTTGATTAGCATAGAAGCAACACTAAGAGGAAATTGGTAAGACAATAACTTCTAGCAGGTTTGTGTGTCTGGTCCCCTCATTCTCATCACCCCACTCCTAAAACTATTTAAAACCATTTAAAAATGTAATGGTGTTCACTCTTGTTTGGGCTTCCACATACTGGTGATGGAACAGTTATTACGTTCTAAGCGCATATACCCCATCCATGATTCCTTCTCTCTGTTTCAAGATAATTAAGCCATAGTAGCTTTTTAAAAATTGTTTACTGCAGTTCTGAAAGGACATCAAAACCCAAAACTGTGTCCCAAAGCCATCCAAATAGTTATTTATCAAGTTTTTAGGCCTCCTTCCTTGTTATTTTCATTTTCAGTTGATATTTAGGATACAGAGAGGCAAATAACTAAATTTCTGAATTAAATAGATTCAATTATATAAATAATCAAGCTTTTAATGATCCAGCTGATATTTTTAGGTAAAAGTAAAGGTTCCCCTTGACATTTAGTCCAGTTGTGTCCGACTCTAGGGGGCGGTGCTCATCCCCATTTCCAAGCCATGGAGCCAGCGTTTGTCATTAGACAGTTTCCGTGGTCACGTGCCCAGTGTGACTAGGTAGGGAACACTGTTACCTTCCCACCGTGGCGGTACCTATTTATCTACTTGCATTTTACATGCTTTCGAACTGCTAGGTTGGCAAGGGCTGGGACAAGTGACAGGAGCTTACTCCATCATGTGGATTCGATCCTACGACTGCTGGTCTTCCGACCTTGCAGCACAGAGGCTTCTGTGGTTTAAACAGAGTGCCACCACATCTCTGACAATTTTGCCCTAACACTGATGCAAATAACACAAAATCCACTGTAAAACACTGTTAGGAATACTTACGTTTTTTACTGCATCAGCATATTTTTGCTCGTTAAAGTAGTCATAAAATGTAGCCATGTAAGTTTCCTTAAAACTGGCCTGAAATACAATCACCATCAGATATTTAGTCTGAATTAAGGCAAAGTGCCTAAGACTGATTCACCAAGGTCAGCAGAAGAAATAAAGCTTGTTAATTCATGGGCAAAGGTATTTCTCAGTAATGAAAAGATCTTGGAACTGTTTTGTTTTCATTTTTTGTGTGTGATCTAGATAGTTAAGCTCAGGCTAAGAATACTGCAGAAGCACTGGTTCCTATGCTAAGCCCACAAATCAAATACAGTATTTTTCGCTCCACAAGACATACCTTTCCATAAGACGCACCAATTTTTTAGGAGAGGAAAACAGAAAAATATAATCTGTTTTCTTCGCTCCATAAGACGCACAGACTTTCCACCCCCCTGTTTTGTGGGGAAAAAGTGCGTCTTATCATGCGAAAAATACGGTATTCCCTTTTAAAATTCTGGAAGCCCTTCAAAGTCTAGTTTCTTGAATTAGCCATTTATTCTGAACTGACAATAATAGCTTGGTAAAGAAGAACCAGACTAGAATATATAAACAACCTATCATCAAAATTCACACAAACAGTGTATGTAGGCAGCACTGGCCAATCTTTATTTGACTAAGGTTGTGGGGTTTTCTTGCCAAATTTTGAAGGGAGGTGTCTGTGCAGTGTTAGCCTGATGCAGCAAAAGCAATAAAGATTCTTGTTACAATTTAAAGATTAACAGGTTTTATTTGGCATATTCGTTTGCATCTGAGGAAGTGGGCTGCAGTTAATGAGAACCTATGCAAAATAAAACTTGATAGTCCTCTTCCCCCCCCCCCCTGCTAAATGTTATTTCCCATGATTTGAACAGTATACCAGCTCCTTATAATGTAAACAAACTGCAGTTCCAATGGGGAGGGGGAAATGTCTGGCCACACTGAGCGGAGATGTGAATCATCTGTTAAGTTTCTATTTTTGCTAGCCCAGGGAACCACTAGATTGTAAGTTACTGCATCCACACAAATCCTTATTCTTGTTCCCACATCCCCTCTACAAGATCTGCATGCAGGTTTTGAAGCTCATGTGACCAGAAAAAGAAAAGATGCCTGGATGGGGATATGGAACATACACGTAAGTTCAGGATTCCTTTGTAAGCTAAGCCTGCATTGCTGACAGTACAGGAGAGTATGTAGGTTTCTATGATTCCTATGGCTGGGGATGGGGAAGATGTTGCTCTACAGCTATTGACACCCTGGAGCTCCTACCATCCCTCACCATTGGCTATGCTTAATAAAACTTGCAGCCTCACAAGACTGGGGGAAGGGGATGTTATCCAACCCCAATCCTTCTCTTATGAAGACCTTTTTTGCTTATGAGTGCTGTAATTACCGTATATATGAAAGAATTATGCCCCCAAGTTTCTAATTTCATCATCAAATGAACACAGATTAAATGGATGAAATGCCAAAGTGACCCAGAAAAGAAAAGGGGAAAAGAATATTAAATCCTTACAGATTTAGACTTTGACAAGCTGCCTAATGTTTGTATAGTCTTGGATATCAGTGTCAAAGTTCTTGAGGTTTGAGGATCCTAAAAAGGGACAAAAACCATTGTATTATGGTTAGCGTGCAGGAAACCACAAACACTGTACTGTACTTCCATGCTACTTTCTATTTTACACACAACATAAAATCACTCCTGTGCTCGATACCTAAAATATAAGAGAACTAAAGTTAGAAGTCTATCTGACAACTATCAAGCCCAGCCTGTTCCAATGGAATGATTCCCGAGCTACCTTGCTTAATTCTCTAATGCACACTGACTATTTGGATAAAGATCAACTCTCTGCATATTCTTTCTAGAAACGACTCCTCTCTTCCCAAATCTTGTAATTATTTCAACTGCACTTTTTGGGGAAAAGAATATGGTAATGCTATTACTGGGCTGATTGTACTAGCCTTGATATTTAAAATGCAGTATAAATGGCAACTATTTTTAATCTGTTACAGGAGGGAACACACAGCAATAAACAATTTGTTTTAGGGGCTGTTTGGCAGCTTCGAGAAGCAAGCCACCTAGGATTTACCTGTGACCAACATTAGGCAAGGGTTTTTTGTTTTTGTTTTTGCCTACCATATGAAATAGGTGATCAGCATGTCTTGGCACAACTGCGAGTTCTAACCTACCAAGATGTCTTTGATTTTATGTAAAAGCAAAAGCTGGTTTAGCAGCAATATCACACTACATTTGCAAATGTAGTATTATTATTTTAAAAAAAGGAGAGGTGGGGAATTTGGTATTCTACTAGACAGGAGACCATTCTACACCATTTTCAAAATATAACAGTCTGTACCATTCACAGACATCATGTGTTACATATAGTTTGCACTGCTGGTTACGGAAACCATTACAAATACATTTTTTAGATCCACTAATAAAATTCTCAACCTTTATGGGGCGATGCTGCCTTGAAAAAGTTTAAAGATACAGAATTTACTTGCAGCTGCCACAGGACTTCAACGCTTCGGTGCCTATCTTATTTTCTCCGTGAGTTACCACATCTCCAAATTATAATATTTATCCATATATTTTCATTCTCTTATTCTTTTATAAACATGGTGACTGAAAACACCTTGAGCTTTGAGAAAACTACCAGTAGCTCATTTGAAAATATAATATTCTTATTAGGATCAAAAGTAAATAAAGAGAACAATGGTGAGACTTAATTTGATACACCCAATATGGCTTTTTGCATTCTTTGGCTAAAGTAGAAACTTCCTGCACATGACAATCTCTATTTGAATCTTGTGGGGATTTTAGAACAAGTGTGTCATAACATATGGGATGGAGAGAGGCAGAGACATCCCAAGAGTGTGCCTGGAAGCCTGATTCTGTACTAGAGCTAAACATTTAATTTTTCAACTGTAATGAAATGAAGCGTAATTGCACTGCTTTACAAATACGCATACAAAAACAAGCTCACTGCTCCCACAGATCAGCTTCTTTTGGGTTCCCCATCAATCACTTAGCCCTCAATTTCAAATGCCCTCTGTTCCATTCCTTGATCCACAGTGCTGAGATAGCTCTTGCAGGTAACATGCAGTCCCCCATTTATGTCTGGTCAGAAATAAATCCTACTGAAATCAATGGGGCAACCTCCCTGGTAAGTGTGTATCTGCACCCTGAGAACATTTTCCTAAATTCTATCTACAGTGCAAATGTAGTACTTAACACTGATGAGGTTTCTTCATTCTTTCTCATGTTAAGAATTTCTGTCCATGACATCGAACAGCGTGAGAGGTTCAATGAAACCCATCAGTGTCTTGAGCAAAAGTAGTCTAATGTCTAAGAAGTCAGAGAGCATCCATCAGCTGAGTGCTTCTCAACAGTATAGAACTAATGGAAATTATGACTTCTTGTTTTAGAGAGAAAAAGGCAATGGTAGCAGAAACGCAGGAGTGGTGAGGCTCAAACAGAAGACTCTGTGTGTGCCCAAATTCTAACAGATTTTCAACTGGAAGATGCAACACTTACAGGATGGTGTGGTGTAAGATGGAAGAGGTTTGGAGACAGAATTGCAGGTGCAAAGAATCTCAGGAAAATAAAGCTGCTTACTGCTGTGTATCTAACATCTGGGTCATCTGTAATTTAAAAACAAAATACAAACTGTCCACCAGCTATAATTTAGGAAAAAGTTAAGACCATCACAAAAAGAAGGGTGAGAATCCAGGGTTTCATAATGGCATTCCCATGCAAAGAGCTTTGAAAAGCCCCCAGCCAGCATGGCCACTGCGCCCAAGATACACTGAGCATTATGCCACTTTCTGGCCCCTGGAAATGAGATAGGCAACATAAAAACAAAGACAGTCTCTGTTCTCAGCCTTATAATCTAAAAAATAATAGAAGAAGAAAAAGGAATGGGGAGGGAAGGAGAAAAAGAAAATTCAGGCACCACTTCTTAAAATTACAGAATTTAGGTGGCCTGACAGAATGAGTGATGCTTAGCTACCATTGAGGGAGAGCTGAAGGCAGCTGTTCTCTCTGCAAAACCAAGTTTCTTTCTTCTAGCCATTAACTCTAAACCAAGTCTTTAGAATATAGGAGTAGATCTCAAATTCTCTCTGTAAAACCAAGTTTCTTTCTTCTAGCCATTGACTCTAAACCCAGTCTTTAGAATATAGGAGTAGATCTCAAAAAAAATTGAGTGGTGAAGGTGACGTTGAAGGCTGCACCAACACCAGTTACTGATTTGACGACTCGTGTAAAAATCTTAATAAAAAAGTTATTAAGTGGTACTCCACAAATAACCATGTTCATTTTTTTTTATAAATCTGTAGGAAGTAGATCCTGCTAAACAAGTAATCAGGTCTCATCTTTGTAAGTTTTTAAATCAGTTCACAGTTAGTGGCTGGAAAGGAGAATCCATTGGCTCTCTAAAGAGATCAGCTGCCTTTAGCATTCTCTTAATGGACCCCTAGTGCTGGGCTGGCCATTCTATCACAGTGCAACAGAGGGAGAGGAAGCTAGTCCATCTGTTCTGAAACCAGCTAGCTATTTTTGGCTCCCTCAACTATTATCTAGTAGCGGCCATTCCATTAATCTACCCAAACTAGTGCCCAAGTTTGCTTTCTTCCTCGTCCCTACCCCAGTCTTTCAAGCTGTGAAACTGAGAAAGACTGTCGTTGTTTCCACTAATCGAGAAGCATTCTGTGGTTGAACAGTGGAATAGAGAGTCTCTAAGTAAACAACACATGTAACACATATGTTTTACTGTCAGTTTTGCCCTTGATGTAATTGTCCTGCCAATATCTGACTTTTAAGGTTTCAAACAAAATAAGAACAAAAGTCTCAAAGCTTGGCAACTGTCTCTGGGGGCCATTCATACAGGGAATAAACAAAAACATACATACATACATATACCTGGAACAGTTAGTGAAATACTTAGTTACAACTACGATTAATCAGCTGAGATGCAGTAGCAGAACCTATGCTGCTTAAGACGACTGACATCAGCTTCAAGTGACATAAGGTCTGCTACTGGATTTCAGCCATTAGGTGTACATATTAATGATTCCTAAAGCTACATTAAAATTGCTTTTGGGAATCTGAACATTTCAGATTCTGTCTGTCTGTCGGTCTGTCTGTGGCATTTTTACACCTCCCTACTTAGTGGAAATCCACTGCTTTGAGTGGTTTTACAACACAACATGAACCATTCCTGTTCCATCCCACCTGTAAAAGTCTACACATAATGGAAAAAAGTAAACAAATTGATAAAATTACAAACAAATAAACAGACTAAGGAAAAGAAACTAAATGGTGACGACAATCCTCAACAGCAAAAGCAGGAACATGGGTTATATGGTTACCTGCAGGGGAGGGTGTCCTTGAAGGCTCGTTAGAAAATCTACACAGTAACCTACCTTGAAAACGTATGGCTGCTGATTCCCTCAATGAAAAAAATATATCACACATCACTGTAGGACAGCTGACCCCAGATTTTGTAATGACTGTGAATATCCGGTCTACGTACTGCCTAAGGTTCTCCTAGGAGATAAGAAACAAGGAGATACAATAATAATCAAGCAGAAATAATTCCAGGTTTGGAAAACACTGAACTTCCATAAAGTACCTTAAAAATCTGAATGACTCTTGATTTTAATTGAAAGGTTGATGGCAAGATAGATGTGTGCAAATTAGTGTTTTTGGGCGTCAGCTCCCAGAATTTCTTAGGTAGCATTTCCCAGAACTGGACTAGAATTCTCCAAGAATTCCTCAGGCCCAGGGACTTGCAGTTCAAAACTGCAACTTTGTACACCACTATCAGAGCTCTCATCCAGATCCCTCACTATAAAACCAGTCTGAAGGGACCAGGCTCTTTTCCCACCTAGAAGCTGTTCTCCTTCGCAATCTGAACTGCCCTCCTTTCTAGCCCATCTCCCACAATTGCCTTGCTCCCTGCAGCAGCCAGTTTGGCCTCTCTTCCCCTCTCAAGAACTGACTTCCAGACATGCCATGACGGGCAGCAGCTGATCCCCACCCCCCCACAACCCAGCAGAAGTCTCCCCTCCCATCCATTCTTGTTCTTCAGTTAGCCCACACTTGGGCTGAGGAGCTGGGCAGGAGGAACAGCACCCAATCCCTGGCACCTGGCCTGCTCCACCCACAGCACTTTGGCCCTGGCCACCCCTCTCCATGTCTGGCCAGTGCTCCCAAGATGTCGCCTTCTGGCCTATTGCTGTGTCTGCCCACTTAGTCCACTGATCCCTCTTCAGGTCCTTCCCAGAGGGCTGCACGTTTGTGTTCTGGAACTACCACAATTCTGATGGGAATTTTTGAAGACTTCTGGGACTTGCAGTCCAATTCTGGGCAGTGCTGCCCAGGGAATTCTGGGAGACACAGTCTAAAAACACATATGTAACCACATTTATGAGATAACATAAGGTTATCTCATAAATGCATTCTGCAACTTTGATTGTATTTCCACACACCTGTTTTTAAATTCTTCACTGAATATACAGCAGGATCCAAAGAACAAGGTGGGCACCTGAAGCAGCTTTTGACCTGTATTTGTCTGAACAGCCCTCTTGCCCTCATTGTCTCTGTGCTGCATGGCAAACTGTTTCTGAAACTAGGCTGAGGTATGTTACCGAGAAGCAGTCTTTTGGTAACAACCATCAGATCCCCGCCATGAAAGCCTTTGAGAATACATATTCTACTTTCCTCGGTGGAAGAGTTCCCACATGCAAACACATGACTAATATAATAATCTACATATTATTTTCCTTTGTACAGGAATTTAGCAACTCATAGGACAACCCCAATTGCAGCTACTTGGCAAAGTGTCCTGATTTACAACATCTGAGTAGAAGTAGCTGGAAGCTGGTATAGGTTAGGTAGCATACAATCAAGTGTTATGCATAAGAGTAGCAAGTGTATCTACTGATACTTGGCCCAGATGCAAAAAAGCACACAACTTTAGTACACAGTTAGCATTAAAATGTCAAACAATAGTTCTTGCAATAAACTGAAACCTGATTTTCAACTACAAAATGCATTATTTACCCTATTATTTTCTAAATTTTCAGCATCTTTTAACTTCACTGGATCAATTTCACAGGGTTTATGGCACTGGCAGATCTAAAAGAAAAACAAATTAATTGTGAAGATCAGCTAAATAAACATAATTTTTAAAAATGTTACCAGCTGCCATCATGCAAAGACTTAAAATCACAAAACAGGTAGGTAAAGATGCCATGTTTTCCTGACAACACATCCATATTAGCTAGTGAGGCTTATTCAGTAATTATTGGGTTAGAAGTCAAAGAAAGTTCATCTCTCTTTTTCTTCATCTAGAAATTACAGAGGATCATGCTGACAGCTCTGTCCTCTGAACACCGGTGGGCCATGATCCCATAAGGCTGGATAGTTGTGAGTAACATAGGGTCTATGTAGTTAAATGCACAAGGGACACTGGTTTAATGCTAATAACCTACTCAAGATGCTTACTATATTTTATTTAATTAAGCTATGGTCAGGAAAGGAATTCTGTGATAAGATTTTAATTTTGCATTATCTTTTTCCTTTAACCTAATATACTCCTTTTCCCCTAACTTGTAATAAAGCGTAATGTCTTAGATAGAATCCACCCTGCTTACTGCTTTTTTTCTGCTCTGCATGCGTATCAGAAACCTCTGATTCAAGAAACGGGGAAGTATGCCTTTATGGCTTTGGGTTTTTGTTTGCTTGTTTCTGGGTTTGTTTGTTTGTTTGTTTGTTTTTTTGGCTTTATTGAGTTTCCTGGTTACAAGGAAGGGAATGTATTTCTTACAACAGCCTATTACATTAGAAGAAAGATGGGAGCTGGTGGCAGCTTCAGTTTCATGTAAGTAAGTAAGTAAGGCACTTGGTCTGCTTGCCAAAGTGTGGGATGAGAGTAAAGCCTCTAAACAGCATGCAGGTTGCCCTACTGCAGTTTCATATACAAATGACTGATTCTAATTTAACTGCTTGAGATTTCTGTTGGTAAGATATGGTGAATTTCTCTCTGTTTCACTGAAGACATAATAATGGCTCCCTATAACAAAGCTAGCTATTTTCAAATCAAGAACAAGCCTCCAGAAAAGTAACTTCTCTTCTCTCCCTAAATGGTTTTAACCATGACTTTGAAGAGTACTGACTTTAACCATGGTTTCCTATAAAGAGTTTTAAAATTCATTTATAACACTGGTTTGAAATGCTTGTTAAGAGAGGAGCTTTGTCATTAATCATAGCTGGCAACCTTATAGATGTAATAATCAATCATGGTTAGGCAGATAAATGAAACGACAGTGGAATTTGAGCTAGAAAGAGACAGGGTTGGCTTCCATTTGCAGACAGCCAGGATTATATGTGCACTGTCTGGGCCTTAGTGAGAAATGTAAAGATCTCTGTGTTAAAAAGATGTTAAACTCATTTTTTACCAAGTGAACATTTAAGGAAATATTTTTCTGTCTCCACTTTTGTTTAAGAAAATACAAAGAACAGAACAGTAGTGTAAGGTTTCTGTGCTGAACTCATCTCTGGACCTGATAATGGACTGGATTAGGATTAATAAAATGAAACTCAATCCAGACAAGACAGAAGTGCTGTTAGTGGGTGCTTCTCCGGACAGACTAGAAGGCCATTTCTCTGCCCTGAATGGGGTTGCACTCCCCCTAAGGGACAGGGTCCGCAGCCTGGGGGTGCTCCTGGACCCCGGTCTAACTCTGGAAGCCCAGGTGGACTCAGTGGCCAGGGGTGCCTTCCTTCAGCTGAGGAAATTATACCAGCTATGACCCTACCTCGATGAACAGAGTCTCATGACAGTTATGCGTGCACTGGTAACATCCTGTATAGATTACTGCAATGCACTGTATGTGGGGCTGTCTTTGAAGATGGTCTGGCAATTGCAACTGGTTCAGAATCGAGCTGGTGAGTGGTGGGGCCACTAGGGAACACATCAGGCCAGTTCTGTTCAAATTACATTGCTATCAGTCACTGCTCGGGCCCAATCCAAAGTGCTTGTTTTGACGTATAAAGCCCTAAACGACTCGGGCCCTGGATACCTGAAGGACTGTCTCCTTCTATATGAACCTACCTGGCAATTAATATCTAGCTAGGGGGCCCTCCTGAAAGAGCCATCCCTCAAGGAGGTAAGAGGGATGGCTTGTAGCCAAAGGGCCTTTTCAGCAGCTGCCCCCAGACTATGGAACGCCATCCCAAGGGAGATTCATTGGGTGCCAACGTTGATGACGTTTCATTGCCAGGTCAAAACCTTCCTGTTCCAGAAGGTTTTATCTGAAATAATATCAACTGTGGGTCCTGATGGCAATTTTTAGAGCACTGGATTTTTAATTGTATTTTAATTATTTTATCTTTTTATCGTATTTAAACTGTTTTAAGCTGAAGCTGCCCAGAGTCCTTTGGGCAGTGTGGGTGGCATATAAGTTAAATAAATAAATATAAATAAATAAAACTGTTTTGAAGAAAAGATCATTACTACACTCTGCACTGACATGTGAGTTAAGAAAGTGCTGAATCAATTAAAGGAAACCTGTGGTCTGCTTATTTGTGACACTGTGAAAGGGGACAGACTAACTGTACTGGAGAGATAAATAAATTGCACCACACTGTCAATCAAGAAGATGTGCACCCATCTAAAAATAATCGTATTTTTAAATGGGCCATTTCTTTTGTCTGCAAAGGGCATGCTCTTCCATGTTCAAAATGCTCGTTTCTGTAACACAAGACTTGCACCTGTGGCCTCTTCAGAACACAGAATTTTTTATGAATGTATTGGCATCCAAGTAACACAGTTGACTCACTGAAGAAGCCAAATACTACAGAGGCTTCTCACAACGTCTTTGAACACAAGAGTACCCAAATATCCTTAGAACAGCAAGAAATCACACACAGTGCTCTGAAAAGACTTCAGATATCAGAGATGTGAAAGTTTAGAAGTTGATCTCACCTCATCAATAATGGGCTTTAGCGTAACTTGAAGGTAGTGCATCCCTGCCAGTTTCATTGTTTCATCAATGCACTTGGAAGTTAATGAGTTCCCTCTGAAAATCGTGTTTGGATCTCTGAAAGCAAACAATTTTCTATCATTTGGGTTTCTTAATAAAGTATTAATACCAGAAATCTGATGAGATAAATACCTGAAGCAATCCAGTACAAAAATTGACTCAAGAGCTGCGCATTAAAAGATGGTATCAAAAGATGCCATCTAATGCTTAGTTTTGCATGACAAACAGAGACATATGGTAGTCATTAACCTCAATGAAATCAATGTACCATTTTTCAAGGCACAGGTTGTTCCTATGAAACTCAAGTGTTGGCTCCTAAACAAAATCATTTTAAAATGCTTTCCGTCAGATGCCTCAAAGGTATCAGAGACTTCAGAATGCATGCATGAATCAGAAAGTTGCATGAGTTAGAATCAAATGCATGAGTTAGAAAGTTTGCAGATGTTCTGCCCCAGTGTATTTTGACCAGCAGGGGATGAGGGATAAAGTGGTAAGAAAGTATGGGTAGCTGTCTAGCGGTAAAGTCTGCTCAAGTAAAGCACTGGCATCCTCTTTCTATAAAAGTAATTGAGGGAGGAGGCCTTTCTTAGGTAGAAACATTCATGGCTTATGCAACACTCCTAGCATATGGAAAAGTTGCTTTTTGTGACCATACGTGTTTGGGGATTCCGAGAATTCTAATTTAAAACAAAACACTTTTCCAAGCTGTGAATCTTACAGTTAATGGTAGCAGGAACAAATGTGCTGGTGAAGCAATAGAAAAGAGCCAGACTGCCCAAGAGGCGTTAAGCTGTATAACACTGGCACATACAGTTGCGCCACCAGTGAACAGAGGAACCAGCTACGCAGGTGTTGGGACTCGTATTTATCAATCACATTTGCATTGTGCCATTTCTCTAAGGCTATTCCATTTCATTCTCACAATAATCATGTCAATATTGAAGGGTCCATCAACAAGTTTCACAGTGTAGGGAGGACTTGAAACCCAGGTCTGGACAAAGACATTTTCCGAGGCAAAGGACCAACCCTCATTCTATTTGCAGAATCCTGGCTGAATTGGCAGTTTAGTGTTACTTCCTTAATGGCAAAGAGAAAATATCCCACACCCCACCTAAAGAAGCATGGCTATTTTGGGGGTTGCAGGAGAGCCACTGCAACCCCAAAGAAACACAAAGTTCTTCTCCACCAAGAAAAGGAAATGATTAGGGTTCTCTGGAGGCATAATCAGGTAGGGGTTTGCCATGGGTGCACACCAGACTCTGCCACCTGATGCTATTATTTCAGTCTGTCTAATAGCAAACCTGGATCAAGTCAAGGTCACTTTATCTACTGCACTGCCAGAGGTCTCTGCTATTTGAGGATTTGGGCATGCAGGTCACATAAGGACAACATATACTGCTGAGATTTCTATCTGCCTTGCATTATCCCTCCCATCTTTTACTGGGAAGAAGTCAATTTGTGAGGTCAGTTCAATTTACAAACCATGGAAGCCCTCAAATTTCTGCATCAAAGAGCTTTTCATTTTTAAAGCACAAGATCCAGTTTTTCTTAAGTACTGGCTCACTGCAGGCTGCCTAACATCTGAGTGGCTGAAATGAATTACAGGAAAGCATATATACATCTTCTTTCCTCCACAAAAGCAAGGCAGTCTGGTAGTCCTATATTTGAATGCATGCATACCTATAAAATAATGAAGTTTGAAAGAAACATGAAGAAAATAGATCTTTAAAGTAAGAACAGCTCTTTTAAAAAGACTTCCTTAGGCTTAATGTATTCACCTGGAGATAAGTCTGGCATTCAAATAAGCACACCTTAAGGGCTGTAACTACTAGAGGCATGAAACAGAAGCTCAACCTACATAGATCTTAGTCTTTAAACCTTAAGCAGACATTTGATATTTTATTCTAAACCTTTAGATGATAGTCAAAATGTTCATGATTCTTTAATGTTGGCCTTGTTTCCATGTTGCAGCAACTCTTGTGTACAATTCTATACCACTTTAACTTTGTCCTACTATGAAACCTTTACAAAGGTGGTGGTAGGAAGCCTATTTCTCCTCTTTAAGTAGCACTCCCAAGGCCATACCCTGCCATTCAGTATGACATACTCTGAAGTAATTGCAATACTTACTGAGTTCTCTTTACTTCAGCATTTGCGATTGCACTAATGAAAGGCACAATTTTGCCATAGTGAAGGAAGAGTCGCACCAGAGGTATGGCTGCTTCCTGCTTCTCCCTGCAAACTTCACCCAGAACATGGGCTGCAGATGCTGAAACAGGCTAAACATGAAGAAGAAAAAGCTTTAAAAATATGAATATCCTCATGAAGTCAGCACACTTTTTATTAATTCATGCCAAACCACTAATAATTTATTGCACTGCCCACTTACATGGATGTCTATGAGGCATTTACTGAGGACTGGCTGTGTATTTTAATAAGAGGGCATAATACGAATACTCCTTCAAGCCAACATATTTTCACATTGTCTTTCTCTAAACTTCCTCCAGTTTGTGTAAGGTGTTTGGGTGGAAAAGAGAATTTTTAGGTGGTCAAGAATTTGCTAGAGTATTTACACTGAAGTAAGTTTCCTTGGTTACCTATTAATCCATTTTAGGATGCAATATAAGAAGACAGATTTTCCCTAATTATGGTGGTGGCACTTCTGATACTGATTAGCTGAACTAACATGGAATCATGGAATATTACCTTGATTAGGGAAGTGAGTTGTGTGCTTGGGTGGGAAGGTTATGTTGCCACTTTGTTTGAGAATCAAATCTCAAGGAAGGGCAAATTTGAGGAATAGGAAGAGGTCCTGGGAAGTAGAATCTGGGAACCCAGAGGCAAGGAAGCCAAAGTAACAGTGACTATTAGTGGACTGAATGTGGCAAAGGAAGAGAAGTGTCTTGATAAAAAAGCAGAGCAAAGAGGAAGAGGAAGCAAATGGTCAATCTGGAGGAATATCAAAACACAAGTTTACAAGAGGCCACGTGGTACTGTCCAGTGAGGAAAAGTGACAAGATTTTAAAGAAGCTTTAGGCCAGCTAAAGAAACACTGATAAGATGTGCAGTATGACTCCAAATCATGTGGGGGGCCCTGCCTGTTTTTGTCCCCCACACAAGCTTCCCAAGAACCAAGAAAATCTACAAATGAGAGCAATGGAATAAACAAACTCACTCACCCACTCACTCCAGCAGAAACATGTATCCGAGGCCATAACTCTTCTCTAAAACAAAGGTTGGTTCCCCTTGTTTTGGCACATGATTTTAGCAAATACTCAGTTTTTAAAAACAGAAGCTAAAATCCTGTGACACAGCTCTGCATGTGCAATATAACAATAAGTAGCAAATTGACATAATGCCATAATAATCAGTAGCAAATTTATGCTAATCAAAGGTTGCCTTTGGCTATTCTGGGATGCATGTGACGTATGTAATGTGACAAAGTTGCATGTACCACAAAATCACAAAAGGAAACCAGTTGGAATTTGCACTGATGATTATTTCATCCCTATTGTGTATATGGAATGCCACAACAGAACATATTTCAATGAAAGCATACAGAAGTTACCTCCCAACCACTTCCATTTTTGTTTTAGAGGAGTTGGTACAATTCTTGGAGGGTCCTGCAGCTAGAAAAATGGCCTCCAATCTCTTGAAGTTTGCCCATCTCTGATCTAGGATCTACACCCTGACTGCATCACTATGGTAAAAGAGTTAGGGAGTAACAAAGTTACCTAACAAACAAATTACCTCAACATCTGAAGATTTTAGTAAGAGGTCTCTGAGTGGGCTGTAATAGTCTGAAGGAAAAACATGGTCTTCTGTGTAAACCACATTTAGCCTCAAGGAACCCAGGTCATCAGGTTTCAGTGACTTGTTACCATTATCTCTGGGTTGCAGGAAATACCTAACAGAAGAGAGAAAAACACACAGGACATCTCAGACTGTGTATCAGTTTCACAGTAGGATACAAGCTGTAGGTCTTCAGAAAGATAGGTGTAATATTTTTAGATAGATAGATAGATATAATGTTTTGTTTTAACTGGAAATATTTCAGTAATGTAATCAGATAGCTAGTGGAGGTTTGCAAACACAAAACCCAAACTGGAGAAATAAAAATATTATTGTATAAGGAGAAACAATGTAGATACAAGGTACTAAAAATTAAAATTAAGTACCATGCTTCATATGAGCTGGACTGCCGGAGAAATTTCAAAGGTAGCCTCAGTTCACCAAGGAACTCATCTCCAAACTTCAGGTTGCTTGCATTCCAAAGATCAATCCTGTAAAAACAATAAAAGAAAGAGAGAGGATGAAAGAGGAAACATTTCTCTGCCTTTTTAATCCTTCCTTCTCCTCTCCCTCTTAAAACAGAACTCAACAACATTCTTATTCATTGAGGCACAACATTATTTCTTTCGAAGTTCCAAATGGTCCAGCTTACTGAAAGAAAATGTCTGTAGATTGGAAAATTAATAGTGCTATGTAATGAATACAGTGTTCTTCAGCTGTTTGTATTTGCAAATGTTGCATCAGATGTTCCCCTGAAATCTGAACCAATTAATACATTAGATTTGATTACAGTGACTAAGGATCTATGTGAAAGCAAGGAGTTCATTGCTCCTGGCAAATACACACGCCAATGTCCAGCTTTTTTCCTCCAGAGCTGGTAAAAAGGCTTGAGATAACAGTTAAAACAAGGTGGAGAAACAATATGCTCCCATTATAATGTGACATATAGACCTTCTTAATTACATTCATAGTGCAGCAGTATGATGTTGGTTCTCTCAGCTTATTCCTGACATTCAGATTCACAGGGCTAGGTTAAAATATGGCAGCTATTTCAACAATCAGTTCTTACATTGAACTGATCTACAAGATTAGCTTTGCAGTGTTACTGGGATATGATTTTCTTTCTCTCAAAAGGCTTCCAAACTCAGCAAAGACCAGCCAGCAATTCTTGGAGCATGTCCATGACTATTTGTAGCAAACCCATTTATATCCAGTGACCAGAGCCTGCAGGATGCAGAGGGTCTGTTGCCTGTGGCATTACACCTTCTTTCCACAAAAGCCTGAGTATATCCATCATTTCCAGGTTGCTGAAAAGGAATTTGGCTACTGAATCAAGTCCAATAACTAGCATTTCTAGTCTTCAATTTTCATATTTTAGGGAAACATGTCAACTCTTCTATAGGCACCAAATATGTTTCTAAGAAAGATGCTCACTGACATATCTGTATGTTGATTCTAAAATCTAACATTTTGTTTAAACATAAAAGTATAGTCCAGGAACATGGTTACAGACATACCACTGATTTAATAATGTTGATAATCATTTTCCTAGACTATATTGGTAGAACTTTATAGGTAAAAGTGGAAACACAGGAAATGAAGAGGAAGAAAGTTTGGAGATACATGATAATTACACAGGGTGTTAATTTGAAATCAGTTTCCATGTTCTAATAAAAACTATTCTGTTTCATACCTATCATAACTGGATAAACTGTAATCCAAGAGACAGTGATGTCACTGCCCTTGCCCAGGCTGCTGTTCCTCTTGGCAGCAGGGTGGGAGACATGAGAGGGACTGGCTAAAATCTACCGCCTTTGAAATCAATATGGGCTAGGTTTATATAGTACAGCTCCTTTTGGAATTCTATGTACATAGTTATGTGCATCAGTATTTTAAGAACAATTATTTCAGAGCAGAGAGAATTCAGCAAAGCAGCCTTGTTCCTGGACTGCATCTCCCACAAGCTATTACCAACGGCTATGCTGTCTGGGAATAATGGAAATGTGATCTAACCATACCTGAGGACTCAAAACAAGGAAAGGATGTTGCAAAAGGTGTTCCATAAGTGGCACTTGCATCTAATATCAGTTCTCACGTTCTAATAAAAACTATTCTGCATCATAACTATCATTACTGGCTAAACTATAATCCAAGCGACTTTGATATATGTTGACTTTACATGACTATGTTATAAAGGCTAAAATCCTGCTGGCTGAGCTATGCTACACCACTTGGATGATGTCATCAGCTGTGGCCATGCAGCGGCCATTTTGAGACAATAAAAATTTCCCTGTTCCATTCCCCCTAGGAGTATAACTTTGTACTTATCCCTGTTAAATTTCAGTCTCTTGTTTTTTTAGCCCAGTGCTTGCACCTATCAGGATCTTTTTCAAATTTTGTTTTGTCTTCCCAGGTATTGCCTATTGCACCTAATTTTGTCATTCACAAATTTGATTAGCATTTCCTGCACTTCCTCATCCAAGTCATTAATAAACATGTTGAAGACCATGACCTAAATTGTAGTAACCCACTTGTTACCTCCTCTCAGTTTGAGATGGAGCCATTGATAATTACTCTGTCAGTATGATTCTGTAACCAACTGCGTATCCACCTGATAGCTGTTCTATCTAGCCCACACTTAGCTTGCTAATTAGAATATCATGGGACACTTTGTCAAAAGCTTTGCTGAAGTCAAGGTATGTTATATCTACAGCATTTCCACTATCTACCAGAGAGGTTACACAATCAAAATATGAGATCAGATTAGTCTGACAGGATTTGTTCTTGACAAATCGATGCTGACTTCTGGTTATTACTGCATTGTTTTCAAGGTACATGCAGAATGACCGCTTTATAATCTGCTGTAGAATTTTCCCTAGGACTGATATCAGGTTGAATGTTGTTCCTAGGTTCCTCTTTTTTAAAGAAAGGGTCAACATTAGCCCTTCACCAGTCACCTGGCATTTCATCCATTCTCCATGATTTCAAGAAACAAATACACAGTGGTTCTGAGAGTTCTTTAGCCAGTTGCTACAATACTCTTACCTGCCTTAGGTCCTTCGAATGAGAAAGGATAAAAATATTTTAAATGAACAAACAATTGTGGTTCATTGAGCCCTGGAAATTTGGACTTGTTTGCAGTAATAAGGTATTCCTTGACAATTAGTTTATCAATCTCAAACTGCAATCCTGTCCCTTCCACTTGTATTTCACATTTACCTGGAGAGTCATAGGCCAGCGGAGGCAAACCTTTTTCGGCTTGAGTGCCCAAAATGATAGGGTGGGGAAGAAACCAGTGGCTGCCGTGCCACCCAGAAGACCAGAACCAGAACAGGAAGTGGCAATTTCAGGGGGAATCATGGGGGTGGACAGGAAGTTAAAAGGGGAGTCATGGGGACAGACAGGAAGTTAAAGGGGGAATCATGGGGACAGACAGGAAGTTAAAGGACCCAGAACAGGAAGAGAAAGGGGGAATCCCAGCTGCAGCCACTTCAAAAGGTTTGCCGTGTGCCAGAAGAAAGGGCTTCACGTGCCAGCTGTGACACGTGTGCCATAGGTTCGCCACCACTATCATAGGCCATCTTTTGGGGAAATGCTGAAGTACAATTTTGGCTTGCAAGTCTATTCCTCTCTCCTACTATGAGATTTGCTACTAAGCATACCGGAAGTCTACAGGAGATGACAGATGGCATAATCATCCCTGCTGATACAAAGGTCTCAGCATTTTAACCTTGTGAGTCCTGTCCTCACTTATGCCACTAATAGGGCAGCACGTATGTGAAGCGGCTACAGCTATAGTCATCTTTGTTCACTCAAATAGTGACACTACCTTGGGTCCCATATTCAACATACACAGGGAAGGAATTAAGTTGGCTCCAACTCAACAGCCCAGTGTTTCACCGCTCAGTCTTGAACCCTTCATTCATTCACTGGAGGATTTGAGGCTAGTTGTGATGAGCTCTTTGGGACTTTGCCCAATCATACCACATGCTGATGCCAGGCTTAAACCCTTCTCTGGGTTACAATGGTTTAAAAAATTATATCCAAGCATGAGTTACATATACAACATCTTCTTTGTTGAAAAAAATATATAGAAGCATAGAAAATTAGTCACCAAGAGATAAAAGTATTCTACCTTTACCCTTTACCTATCAGCAAATACCTTATCTTTCTTTGCTAGGCAAGAAAAGTGGCGTGGGAACATATGTGACCTTTCAAGGACACAGCGGATGTCAATGGCTAGAAAAACAGAACCACAGAATAGTTGAGCTGGAAGGGGTCCTATAAGGCCATTGAGTCAAACCCGCTGCTTAATGCAGGAACCCACATCCAACTATACCTGACAGATAGTTATTCTGGATAAAACTTCTTATTTTCTTTAAAATGCATGTGAACTATCTGGATAGAGGGGGAGAGAGATGAGAGAAAGAAAGTGTGTTTTTATAAACACATTCACCTGATTTCCATCTTGTCAACTTCATCAACATCTTCAATTTCAAAATGGGATTTCTTGTTATAGCTGCAGGGTCTAGTAACCTGGTGCAGATGAGAAATTTAAAGATACAAGGATCTTATTAATTAAGAGGAATCTCATTATACAGTCACTATATATAGGGAAGCTCAACAAGATTACAAACTGCACTTGTTTCACATATGTAATGGCACTATACTTCAATTATATTGCAAAGTTTTTGGAAAACACATTTTTAACCAAACATAGATCCTATTTTCCAATATAAAAAGTGAAGGAGGCACATTTAATTCTATAGTACCCAACTTGATATATTGTAAGTTCCCCTGAAAATCCAGTACTAAGGAAAAGAAGTATGGTACATGCGTTTACAAGGATTCTGAATTCCTGAATACAGTGGTGCCTCGCTTGACAAGGATAATCCATTCCAGCGAAATCACTGAAGAGCGAAATCCTTGTCAAGTGAAATAAAAAAGCCCAATGAAATGCACTGAAAACTGTTCAATGCATTCCAATGGGCGAAATACCTCAGCGTCCAGCGAAGATCCTCCATAGGGCGGCCATTTTCTGCTCCCTGTATAGCGAGGAATCTGTCCCAAAACACAGCGGGGAGCCATTTTACACAGCGGGTGGCCATTCTGAAGACCCGACAATCAGCTGTTTTGATCGTCATTAAGCGAAAAACCGGTTCCCGAAGCAGGGAACTGTTCATCATAAAGCAGTTTTTTAGCGATCACAAAAACCCATTGTATAGTGAAAAAACTGTCATGCGGGGTAACCGTCTAGCGAGGCACCACTGTATTCACTTCCTAAGAGTTGCAGTGCCATGTCTCCTTTAACCTGGACTTAAAATCTAGTCCAAATCAATCACATGTCACATTATGTAGGGTAACTTACAGGGGAAATAAAAATAAAAATCCAGAAAATATTTTTCATTTTAAAAATGAATGAAAGAAGCTGTAAAAGTAAAATCTATCTCACAAATTTATACAGAGTACCACGGAACATTAAAAAGGCTGAAATGTATTGTACTTATGTTTCCTCAGTTGGATCAATAGTTGGCAATAACGGGATATTGTGGGAGCACACACAAATAACTAGTAAGACAAACACTTTAACTACTAAAGAATAACAAGCAGGACCTGCAAATAAAGTGTTGCAATACGGAATGTTTCAATCCATGACTGGCTGGCTGCAGGCAGTCTTCCAGGATGCTCCAACCCATTCCCCCGCCCCACTGGTTTTCTCTTCACCCTCCAGCAGCCAACAAACATTTCATGAGCACTGGACATGTTCCTTTCGCAATGGGTGGCGGTGGCTTCCTACTTGAAGGTTTCTTTTTCCTGAAGATTATCATAGCAAAACAAACCTTAAGATTCTCCCAGGCCTGCCCACTCTCTTGAGCATCAATGTGCTGTTCTGTTTTGATACGGACTGGCTCTTGGAGAACGAAGGTGGTTGTTCGTATGTATCGAGGTGGGAATGCACGTGGATTATGAGACATTTGCAGCCCTCCTGGCTATGGCTACAGTCCCTAGAGGCCCTATCACCATTATATAGACTGAATTCATTCACTAAAAATAAGGAGTAAAATACGTAAAATGGGAGTTGTGTTCCCCAAAGCCTCTAAGAAATGTCCCTCCCCCCCAAATAAATCTCCTTACAATTCTTCCGACACTGCTAATGGGTTTTCCTCATTTTTCCTTCCTCTTCAACATTTAGCAGCATATGGTGGGGTGGGGTGGGATGTCCATGGTTTGCAGGAAGATCTAGGGGTCTGAAATTAGCCCTCATAGCCATCCAAGTTGCCCAGTTCTGGTATATATTGTTGGAAATTTGGTAACTATTATTTTAGCAGAATGTCCCCGCTTGTAAGGTGAGTTTATAGCTATTTATTAGACCTAATCACTCAAGATGGCCATATATAAAATAAAAGCCTTTACTGCTGCAGAGAAAATTATAAAGGCAGAACAGGGTAACCTTAGACTTGTGTACAGAGCCCCTAGAACTGGTTTCTATGTAGGCAATTTTGCTGGAGTACATCTTGAACAAGTCCTTATTGTTTGCCTTCCATTGCAGGACAAGAGAGAACAAAAGAACACCAATTTCCTTCAAGAGAAGAGAGGAGAGTTGAGCTAAGGAGAGAATAAGCAATAACATAAATAGCACAATACCTGGATATCTATCAGTCTATCACTCTCCTCCACTGGCCAATTTTTGACAAAGTGGTTGCACATAACAGTATTTTAATATTTATTTGTTTTATCTGTTTACATTTTTATCCCACCCAAATAGGAGAGAAGCTATTACTCTGTAAGTACTCTGTAACATGTAAGATAATTGCCACTACCCAACCATTTCATTTATGAACTAAGTGAAAGGAATGTTGGAGATCTACAACAATCCAAAGCAGAAATGATAGAATCCCATGTGCATCTTCCTTAGTTACACAAAAACTGGGTTCCATTCTTCATTCCACTCTTCTCTGTGTACAATCAAGAAAGATACTACGTTTTCAGGTCTCTGAGACTGGGATTCTAGAAACCAGTGGCAGTGAGCAGAATAGGGAAAAACCAAAGAAAATATTAAACCAAAAGCACACAAGAAAGAAAAACATAAAAGTTTAACGTTTTATATTAGTTAGCTTTTCTCAAGTGCTGTGTCTTAAACACATGGCAAGGTCATGGGACTTCAGTATTCTTTGCGAGCAACTTCTTATGTTTCTCTCAAGAGGTATAGCGATTCAGATGTACACATAGCCTGGGGTCTACAGGAATGTGACTCAGAAACAGTCACCAAGTGTACTTCTAGTCAACTGAGACTCCTTTGTTCAGGGAATATAGTTCTTTGATCCAGTGTAATGCAGTTCCCATCAGGGACCAGGCCAATTATAAACACTTGTTTGAAGTATCCCAATTAACAACTGGCTAATCAATATTCAGATATGAAACAGGAAGAACTGGGTGGATAGGAAACAGTTAACTGGAATTAGTGCAAGAGTTCTGAAAATCGGAGGATGCAGAAACTAACATGTGGCACACACCAGCTCTGTCCTTCAGCAGATGGAAGAGGTTGGGTGGGTGGATGGGTGGGTGGGGGAAAACAGGAAGAATGGCTCAGTGTATGTATGGAAGTCTTCAGCATCTGAAGGCTTAGAAAGAGACAATGAAAACCAAGGAGGATGGGGTGTGTGTCAATTTTTAAATTGGGAAAGCAGGGTGTATGTATCTTCCCACAAACAGATGAACTGTTCATACTGTACATTCTAGTCTCCAAGCCCACCTTTATAAAGGAGTTGTACAGGTAGTTTGGGCTTTAGGATGTAATGACAGAAGTGCTCATATCATTTGTGTTTTGTAGAAACAAATTGGGAGAGTTGATTTTTTTGGAATGGCAGCTTCCAGAATCTCACGTTCTGCATGGCAATGGAAACACAATTATTTCCCATTGAGAAACACTGGCTGGCATGCAAAGCGCATCACAGAAATACAACCTAGGGTGTACAGAAATTGAGTTGTGCTAGAATGCAGCTGGGGGCCTGCCATAGTAAGAAAATTAATCCCTTATTCCACCAGATGTCTCCTGGAAAGCCGTTTCTAAAAGAAATAGTCCTAGGTATCAATTTTTAAGTGTTGTCTGGAAACCATCACTGAGTTTCTTGGAAAACAATAAGTTGTGGGAAGAGGCTTATAAATTTAATCTAAAATAAACGTTGGGTCTGTTGGATGTTTGTTAAGGAAGATGTAAACTCTTATCGTTCAATATAATTACAGGATGAGTAATGCAAACTATCATCTCCCCTAACAGGAAAATGCATATACCACGTGTGAAAGTACTGTGTAGAGCAAGCTGGAAGAGGAATGAACATGGTTTCCAATGACAAGTCACTGTGATTGCACTGCTTAAATAACTGACATTATTTGTTCAAAATGGAGTAAACCTAAATTCAAAGGTTCATCATCTCCTTTTCATATCTATTAGCAGTACTTCAAAGGGAAAATGCCTAAGGCCTCAGTTCCACTGACAATAAAAACTGCTGTTGAATGAGGCTCTGTTTTAAAAAAAAAATTTGGTGAACACATAACATACATGCACACATGAAGTCATGTAACAGAGGATCATTTTATTTTGAGTCGCAGTGCATTTTTCTGCTCCTCCACCAGAGGTTCATTTATTTTAAGGCACGTGTGGAATTTATTCATTGGAATCAATTCCACATACAGTATATGAACACCCCACCGGCATTATTTTTTTTTAAATTCCTGCTATCCAATACAGTGCTATACTAGATAGGAGGAATAAAAAATATAAAAGAAAAGCACTGTGGTCCACCAAACAGTTGATTCCCAGCCACCAGTCATCCAAGCCAAGCGAGTCGCAGTGCATTTTTCTGCTCCTCCACCAGAGGTTCATTTATTTTAAGGCACGTGTGGAATTTATTCATTGGAATCAATTCCACATACAGTATATGAACACCCCACCGGCATTATTTTTTTTTAAATTCCTGCTATCCAATACAGTGCTATACTAGATAGGAGGAATAAAAAATATAAAAGAAAAGCACTGTGGCCCACTTGCCAAAAAAGCTACTGCTCCACCAAACAGTTCATTCCCAGCCACCAGTCATCCAAGCCAAGCCTTCCTTCCCTTCCTTTTCAGCCCCCACCATCTTCCTCCCTTCCCACCCCATCACTCAACCAATCTTTTCTCCTCTTCCTTATGCCCTACAAATCCTTCCTGCCTTCTATTCCCCCTGCTCTACTCCCATCTTTGACCCTTGACCCCTCTACCCTTTTCTCTCTCATCCTCCTCCCCATCGTAGATATCCATTTACTCACACACTCATTTTCCTTCCTATTCTCTTGCTTTCCATCCGCCTCCTCTTGCTGTACCATCCTCGCTCATCCATCATTTCCCTTAGGGTGGAGGCAGGTGATGGGCATGGAGGAAAGAAGTCCTCCCCCTGTCCCAGCTGAGTAGAGCCTCCTGCTCATCCAGCAATGTCTGTGGAAGGCAACAAGCCCCCCTCAGTTACGAGGTGAGCAAACCCAGTCCAGAGCTGAGA